ACTGAACCCTCAATACGTGAGCAATTTCATCGCCCAAACGAAAATGTTGATGATCAGGAATATCAATGGAATTTTGCACAGGAATAAGAATAGGATCTTGCACATGTCCCCCTGGCCTTTCCTCCCTTATAATGTTCGGCTGCACATTCTCAACCCTTGGTCCCAAAGGAATATTATTTGGGAAAGTCAGAGGAGTCTTTCCCCTACATGTTCGGTTGAACGTTGTGGCGCTCGGAAGTGTGCTGTCCACATATGATGGCCCTGCGAAATTTGCTTGCATTCTCGATGGTGACACACCTGGCAGCGTCTGGGTGGGTTGAAGAGTAACCCTTGATAACGCCTGATCTAACATGTTCTGTATCAGATTTTGCTACTCGCGCAACATATTTTGCATCGCCGAAGTATGCTGATTGTTCAATTGTTGAACATAAGACAACCAATCTGTTGGTGGTTGGGGAATCTCCCTTGAATTTGGCATGACGGGTGGTGAAATATTTTCTCCGACCGGTGCTGATGATGATTGAGGTTGTGTGCCTGCCATATTGAACTTTTTGATGATTCGGCCAGACCTCAGTCGTATGAAATTCTCTGGTAATGTAGGATCAGCAATCTTGCCTTTCTCCCACTGTGGTCACCAATTTGTTGATGTATTTTTTCAACAAACAAAAAAGTAAAATTCAAAGATATGGAAATATCCTTAAATTTGATTAATTAGCGCCTGAGATTAGGAATCTCTAAACATTGTACGGTACATAAGATAATTAATTGGAAAATTAAAATACTGGAAATTTAAAGTGGTGATCCCCGAATCTGAATTTGCTTTTGTTGAAGTTGATTGAAGATATATTCTCCAGAAAAATCCAAATCCTTAAATATTCCTTGAGAAACGGTACTGGAAACCGTCGCCCGAACGGTTACAACGTCTCTTTTTCAACCGTCTGCTAACCCTTCTCCTATTGACACGTGCCCTCAACCGACCACAGTATCATTCTCACTTACTCTCAACAGTATCCGATTCTTTGGACCGACCGCAGACTTTTCCGCCTTGTTGGTCCGACTGCAAACCTCCCGACTTGTCTGATCCAGCCGACCCTCGGACCTCCCGACTTATAGACCATCCGACTTGTTTGGTCCAGCCGACCCGCGGACCTCCCGACTTATAGACCATCCGACTTGCTTGGTCCAACCGACCCACGGACCTCCCGACTTATAGACCATCCAACTTGCTTGGTCCAGCCGACCTGCGGACCTCCCGACTTATAGACCATCCGACTTGCTTGGTCCAACCGACCCGCGGACCTCCCGACTTATAGACCATCCGACTTGTGGATCTCCCGATCTGCGGACTTTCCGACCCACGGACTTTCCGAACTACGGACCTTCCGACCTGCGGACCTCCCGACTCGTGTACCTTCCGACCCGCGGACTTTCCGACCTGCGGACTTTCCGACCTGCGGACCTTCTGACCTGCGGACCTTCCAACCTGTTATTTCCTTATAAACGCACCTATTTTACCTGAGTTTCCCGCGGTGCCCCTCGACCCGTTCGATCACCTCAATTGTAAGGCCCATTTTTTCTTTTTACCTTGGGCTTTTTAACCTAATTCTAAATTTCATACGTAACAACAATAAAATTCGTAAATGTTGATTCTGAAGTTAATAAATAGATGTTGAGCATTGCACATCAAATGATCGAACAATCACAAGATACAATATACTTCAACCAAAATATATAATATTGAAGTTTTTCAAGAATTTTACTTAATTTATTTTCTCCATATTAAATGGTCGTTAAACTTTTAATATGCTAATCTACGAGCATGTACATTATTGTTATATGATCAAGCAGAGAATGTACATTAATTATTGCTATATAAAAAAATTAATAGATACGATCTGATCGTTGCGAGTGTCATATGATTAAAATCGTACAAAGTTTTATATAATTTTTTAAATAAATAGTTACTTAACATTCTTTAACATTCTTATAACATGCTAACAATTCTTTTCATATTACATACTATCAGGCGCAAAAAAAAAATTGTGAACATCACCAATTTGAAAATTCTTCATTTTTATTACATGATATTTTATTTCCTAGTTGCTAATTGGTCATATTTCAATTGAATTTTATGCATATAATGAATTATGTGTTACTTACTCTATTTACACATAGCAAGATTTATTGTATTTTTATCCTTTAAAATAAAAGTAAAATGTACTTTTTCAAATTTTGGGAATAAATAATAAAAACACCTTGAAAAAGTATGCCAAATTTATGTATAGATATAATGTTAATAAATACTTTATGGTTATAAATAAGGGGGTTGTTGTTGGCTATAATCATTCATTTTATTACTCTCATTTGGTTATTTCATCAGCATTCTTTCTAGGTATTGTTATAGAAATTGATTTTTCTTAGCATTTTTTTTTGTTTTTTAGATTGTTTGTTTAAAATATAACAATTGACTTTATTTATTTTCAATTTAGAAATCTGCTTCTTTCACGGTTCAAATATGAGCAAAGAGGCAAAAACAGGTAAAAATTTCAATCAATAATATTTGCTAGAGATAATATATATTGTTCTTTCAATTTTTACATTATTCTATTAAGTTTTATTTTTTTCATGAAATTTATATTTTTTGATTATATATTGTGGTAATAAGATCTGTTTTTATTCCTAAAAATTATGTTTATACAGAAAGTTGGAAATATTTTTTCCAATTTTCTTTGTTCTACTAATAAGTTGCTTTTGATTTTTTTTCCTCAAACTATTGGACTTAGTTTTTTAAGTTTGCTAGGTAAATATAATGTGAAGTAAATTTTTTTTATAAAATTGCATAGTTAACATACTTTTAATGTTTCATTTATATAGATAATGAACACCAAATAGTTCAAAATGACGCGAATCTTGCACCAAACAAAAGTTTCGAAGAGCAAATTCCTTTGCCACTCGTTCAACCAGTACCGGCCGTTGTCCAACCGGAAAATTCCACGCCACTCCCCGAGCCTTCCAAACCAAGACATTCGGCATTGAGAATGAGAGCTAGCAACGACCCGTCGGTCCTACACGAAGAGAAGGCCAAGAGGAGGAAGAAGTAATATGGTGAAAATTAATTCATGATCTACAATAATTTAATTGTTATATTTATATATTATAATAAATTTAACATGTCTATGCATTAATAAGAATATGTTTTGTTTTTTTTTATTAGTTTTTTTAATTGTAATTCTTTGAGCTTGGTATATTTATAATTATATAATTGTAACATCAAAATTTGTTCATGAACTTGAAAATAAAAACAGACAATAAGGAAAGCAAGAATAGTATACCATGCAATAATTTGATTCAATCCAAAGCAATATGCATTTAAAGACTTTTATATAAATATAGATAACTATTAAGTATATAACATACACAATAATTGGGTTAACATGAGCGACTTATCAGGAGATGAGCCACTGGTCAGACCCTAATTAAAGAAGAGCCTTTTTTAAAAAAAAAAAAAATAGCTCATTATCACTATTAAATTTTAAATTTTATTTTATACATATATATTTTTTTATTATTATTATCGAATTCGATTTTAATTAAGATTAAATTTAAAAATATAATATTATCTATATCTCTTTTTTTTTTTTCTTTATCTCTTATTCCTAATCACACCGCACTACATCTTTCGAAATTTAATCATTGCCTACACCTCTCGCCTGCTCCCACCCATCCACGCCAAAACCCACTTCTCCCTCTCTCTACACTTTCATCTTCTCTCAGTTTTTCTCACTATTCGAACCTCCAGACGAAGCGGTGTTAGTTCAATTTCCATATTTTTTCCCGAGTCAACACCGTCATCAGACTGCAACCTTCAACTTGTTGTCTAGCCGACGTCAATGTTAATGATATCATTTTAAAAGTACATTTAGTCGTGTGTTTATAGAATCTAAATTCTACTTTTGCTCAGGGTCCCGAAAAAGTCCGAGACGGCCCTGGTTAACATGCAAACCATCTAATCTAAGTCTATTTAACGTCTTGTTGTGAAATTATGAAAAACAAAGGAAAAAATAAAAATAAAAATAAAAATGATCCCCGAATAATGGTATAATTTTCATATTATTTATTACACCACTACAAGAAATTATTAATTTTGTAACGAGATTTTTTCATTCCTAAATTCACTTTTTCTGTTACTAATGATATTAGAGACGGAATTAGAGATGGAATTACGTTAACTACGTGAACTTTAGGAACGGAATTCCGTTACAAATATACTATTTTTTTTTGTAGTGCACGTATTTACCACAATCCAAAATACGAGATTTAGAAAACTAATATTCATTAATGGTTACCAAACTACAATGATAATCTAGCAGTCTTCAATCTCTATGAATCATATAAACGTATTTCCGAAAAGGAAAATTTATTCTTATTCTCGAAAACGTATTTCCGAAAAGGAAAATTTATTCTTATTCTCGAATTCGTCGCAAACCCAAGAAAAGATAGGATTGTCAAGTTATATATGTTACGAAATATTTATGTGTTTTCCACTCTCCTTCCTTCTTTTATGTTTATAGATTTGTTTGATTCGTTTTTCAAATTATTTTTTTGACTATTCATCATTTAAATCAAAATTCAAGTAAAAAAAATAATTATAATAACTCAAAATAAGAAACAAAACAAACAAAAGTTTATATTTTTACTTGATCTGATTATTTTGAATTATTCTCCGTAAAGTTTCTATTTTTGCAAAAGCTTTGTATATAGTGGGTGTGTTCGAAATAAGTACATTTTTATGTCATCGTATTTAACAATACTTATATCATTACCAATACTTTAATTTTCTAAGCATTCCGAATTTTGTTTATTCCGTTAATTATCTATGAAAATTAATAATAATTGACAGTGACTCTTATTTATCTCTCTCTTTATACGGACATTCTTAATTAATTACTGTCAATTATTATTATTTTTCATAGATATATCTCAAATGTGTTAGCTTCCAATCATTCAAGTGTAAGTTTGGATTCACATTTCTGGCCGGGATACCAGTCAGCCGGAATGGCATCTTTCGCCACGATCTGTTTGCCCGATTTTACGGTGGTAAGCCTCACAGTAAAAGGGCCTTTCATCCCATCAGGCATATCCATCTTCCATGTCTCGCCCCAACTTCGTTGCATCGACATCCACTTACCTTTGGAATTTGAAGTCAACACCTCGACTGAGGATACGTCTCCGTCTCCACTCATGTGTTCGACCAAGAAAGCAAGATAGTATGGATTCGCGCCTTGGTCGAGCTTGAACTTTATGTCCGTGTGGTAATGACATTGTACTCTGCATAATCCCGTGTTACGCTTAAATTTACAAGTAGAATATACCGACATAAAAATTAAATAAAACCATAAGTTCATCGTGGTGCTTTTGTTTTAAACCTTAAAAGTTTAAAATTTTTATTTAAATAATATTTGATGTGATATTTTACAAGAGAAACAAAAGTATAATTTTTTCAAAAATTATAGAGTCAAAATAGTAAAATAAAAAAAAAAGAAAAAGAATGTATGTTGTTCTATATAACCTTTTATGTAAAAAATAAAATAAAATAAAACGTACGATACTACTAGTATATTAAATAAATGAATTAAATACTCTATAAATTTTATCATATAGTTTAGCTTTTTAGGTTAAAAAAAAATGTACGATACTACAAACGTATAATTCATATTCGATCAAGTTTCTAAATGCAAATATAGAAATTTTATACATCGTTATGGATTATATTGAAATACAAAACAAATATACTTTACTATATATTAAAATTTATCTCCATTAACTCATACCGTCGTTGATGAATGTTGATTTTTCCGGCTTTTCGTAGTGTATCAGCTTGATTGGGCTTGGCTAAGCAACCGAAAGCCGTTCCGCTAAGATCAAAGTGGTGGGAATCATGTTGGCAGCTCGGACACTCATCCGCGATGGTTATTGTAACAGGAAAACCCGAGCATGCCGGATGGTCAGTGCATTTCACCTTCGACCCATATATTTGTGATCGACAATTTTAAATTACCATGCTACATCAAACTTGGTAAATCGATTACCAACCTACATACTTGGTCAAAATAATTAAATCAAACTGACTAATACCTCATAACAAGCCCCACAACCTTTTCCGGATTGATAAATAATATTGTTTCCGGCAGCCACCATGCTATTATACGGCGGATTTTCCACGTCGTTTTGGAATCCACAGGCACCTCCTGCAGGAATGAACGTATAAAATTGACAATTTTTGTCAAAAATATCTCAAGAAAATTATAATTTCGCCCTGTATGTATGATCAATGGATGATGATCATTTTTATCGTGTCATTTTGTATAGCAGTCATATAAATTGCGACATTTTACTCATTTTTTCATGAAAATAAGATCACATCACTATTACATGAGAATCTAGAACAAAATATAAAGATGGTATGTTTTAGTTAACAACACAGAAATATAGCCAGTACAAAAAAGTATCTAATTAGCTTAAATATTTTTAATTATGAAATATTTTTGTAGTTAAAACTTGTCATTTAGCAACATAAATTAATTCCGTCGCTAAATATAAATTATGTATTACAAAATTAATTTCGTTGCTAAATTTCTTTTTGCTAGAAAATTTTATCTTCATAGCAAAAATGTATTAGCTACAAAATAATTTTTCATAGCTAAAATCATTTTGCTATAAAAATCATACATATTTTGTTGCTAAAACTTTTTTTTTTATAAATTTTAATCTTATAGCAAAATAGTTTATGAATTATTACCTTTTGCTGCGAAATTTTTTGTAGCTAAATTTCAACTTTCTTGTAACGAACCTAGGAAATATACAACACAAAAATGATAACTATATATATATGACCAAAATTTTATGATGCATATAAATATCGATCAAAAATACACCAGAAAAATTGTTAATTTCAAGATCATATTGTCAAATCTTGCCAACTTATATATATATTTTTTTTTTCTCTTTTTGTATTTGTATTTGGAACTAGACAAAATTTGCATGGTTCATGAGTCAAATTCAGGCTTTTCCATGATGTACCATTTTGATCATCCAAGACCATTTAGGGCTTTAAATGGGAAATTTTCTACTTTCTAAGTCTTTTTTTTTTTTTCAATTATCTTATTTGGGGCATTTTAGAATTTAGGGTTTTCGATTCAGTAAATACCTAGTTTTTTTTTTTTTTTTTTTTTTTTTTTTTTGTAATCAGTGTTGATTGAATAGAAAGAAGATTTCAATCTTTGATCGTCAATTATTCTCCAATTCGACCATCCATATTTGTGTTCACCGGAATCATTATATATCCTCGTGGGGAATTAAACAAGATTAAGGGAAATTTGTTAATCATAGTAAGCATGCAATTCTAATTATCAATAAAGTCCTAAAATATTTTTCGATACAACTCAATCTTTGTATGTTTATAACTTTTGGCGAGTTTGATCTTGATCCATATCATCATTCTTGCACTAGCTACGGTATCTTAATTCGACTTACAATCATCAACTCATAGACATTGAAAACATACAAGGCCAAATTGCAAATGACTATTCCTTCGCGACTCAAGTGATAATTAGACATATATATATATATTACACATGCACGAACAAAATAAAATTGTCAATTTTTGAGACAGTACTATATATTCTTAAACATTGGCATTACCGGCGCTCCCAAATCCTGTGGGGCTTCCATACCACGTGGCAACTCCGTGCGAGAAAGAATCCTCAACGTGCAATGGGTTGGAATAGGTGCGCGCGCAATTGCCGATTAAAATGAGCAAAAGGGGTAAGGCGATCGAAACAAGAAGTGCATACATGGTGGTGCTTTTTGAGATTTGGTCATACACATTAATGTAATGAATTGGTAATAACAAGAAAGGAAACTAGAAATTATTACAAGATGATATATGTATATATATGGATGGTTCTTGTCTTGTTAGATTTGTGTGTATGATTGGAGTCAATGGCTGTGAGTGTCTTGCGTTTTAGCTAACTAAAGATGATTAAGATGTGTATGTGTGTGTATTAGGAATTTGGATGAGCAAAAATATTGATTCCAAATTAAATTTATTATTTTTTATTATTTTTTATTGTAGCTAAATATGTAGGATCAAACCTGGGACTCTATCCTCAAGGGAGGGATGTCTCACCGGTTGATCTAAAAGGATTTGACAATTAAATTTATTATTTTGGAGAAGGGGCTTGATGCAAATAAATAATATGGATTGAAAATAGTTACTTCGAAATTATTTTTTCATGATCCTATGGTTTTTTTCGGAGATATTAAGTAATGTCAAACATTGTCAAACTAAAATTTCGTCCCTTTTGTATTCGTGATAAAATTTGCACTGTTCATTGAAATGGCTCATTTTCATACTTTTAGCTGATTTCATTTATTTATTTATTTATTTTAAAATATATTTCTTCTATTCCGGTAGAGATAAACCATTTCGTTTGGAAAAATTTAAATAGTATAGATTAGTTATTTAAATATTGAGGATTAGTTATTTAATGATTAAAAAAACTAAAATATATATTTAAATATTCTTATCATTATATCTCAATAAAATATATTATGGATATCATTTTGTAGAGAACAGAATTTTATATAATACAATAAAAAAATATATATTTATTTATTATCATTATTATAAATTAATTTTATAAAAAAAATAGAGAATTTTAAAGGTAAATAAAAATATTGGTTAATTGAGGAGTGAGAGAAATAAATGGGTTTGAGTAAATTCTAGAAATTTAATTAAATTTATTTATATTTATTAAGTATGTTTAACATTAATAAATTTACCAAAAATAAAAAATAATCATCACAAACGTGAGACAGAAAAAATGAAGAGAGTATTTTAATAAATTTACTTTTTTATTTTAAAATATCTAAAAATTAATAAAAAAAAATTATTATGTCAAAATAATTATTTATTATTAAATATTTTAAATTCGTTATATTACTAAAATAAAAGATAAAATTATAACAATATTTAATCAATTAATAATATAAAATTGATGAATTATATAGAGTATGTTTCTTTAGCCGAATTTCTCCAAATTTTACTATTTGGACTTTGCGATTCTCGAAAAAATTACATTTTTTACCCTCACAAAATATCTCATCAAACATTATTTTCATACCAAATTCAAATCAATTTATTTTCAAAACTCATCGAAAAAAAAAACACACCCATAGATTTTGAAATGATAAAAATAAATATATAATATGAATGGCGGGCCATATGATGTAATTTTGAGTTGAATGAAGAATTTAGTAATGAGAAAAAAATTATGGATCGAATAAAATCTAAGGTGACAAGACAAAAAGAGAAAAAGTGAGTTGATAAATGAATGGGCCCACCATCATCTATATTAATATTATAATAATATATAAAAATTTAGGAAAAAAATCAATTTTTGTCCCAATATAATCAAAATTAATCAATTTTGGTCTCGATATAAAAAATTCATCAATTTTGGTCCCAATAAAAACAATTTCAATCAATTTTGGTCTCATTATAAACAATTTTTATCAATTTTGGTCTCACCGTTAAAAAACTAACGGAAATTGCTGACGTGGAGGTGACGTGGCAGTTGACCTGGAAAGTACACGGTCATGTACAATTATACACGGCCATATTGTTACATGGCCATGTATATTTCAGTGTATAATTATACATGGTCATGTTGTTACACGGCCATGTACAATTATACACGGTCATGTTGTTATAGGGCAATGTATATTTCAGTGTATAATTATACATTGTCATGTTGTTACACGGCCATGTTGTTACATAACCATGTATATTTCAGTGTATAATTATACATGATCATGTTGTTACACGGCCATGTATAATTCTATACGGCCGTGTATTTTTCTGTTTCAGTCTAAAATTTTAGTTTTTTGTTATATTTTTAAATTTATTTTTTTTGAATTTAGAATAGTTGATATAGTTAAAATGGAAAAAAAAAATAATAATAATCATAATATAATTAAAATATATTAATTTTAGTTCAAATATAAGTATTTATCGAGTATGTTCTTTTGAAAGATTTTGTCTAAAATTATACTATTTAACAAAAATTTCAATACATTAATTGGATATTTGTAAGAGAAATTTTTTTTGATGTAAGGTGAATTCGAAACTATAAGATTATTGCTTCAAATTCCACATTTCTAAACCTCATGCGTCCACCAAAACACAATCAAATACAGTTGGAATCTCTCAACAAGTTTCACGATACAGTGAAAATTTTCTGGAGACAGATGATACTTAAAAACTATATAATTTACAAGTTATCCTTCCGTACACCTTTAAAATTTACATTTACTTTTTGTATGCATATTAATTGATGTTAGTAATTTATCAGTGGGTAAATATAATAATGTAAAAACTAAATTCTTCTTACTTTTATACAAGTGTATAATAAAGTGAATGTAAAATGATAAATAAGTATTAAAAAAATATTAATAGTTGTTATCCCAAAATTATTTTAGAAAATTGTTCGAGCTTAGAAAAAAAATAAAATAAAAATAAAATTAACTCAATTGTTCAACTCAATCGGAGCCCCAAATCTAAATTAGCAGGCCCAAATGAAGTAATATTCCGTTGAAAATAATTTTTCTCTTGCATTTTTTTCTTCTAATTCGTCCTATCTCTTCTATTTTTTTTTTCTTGCTTTTCTTTTAATTTTTTCATTATTGTGTTTATTTTCGTTCCTTTTTTTTTATGTTTTTGTTTTGTTTATTATTTCCTTCCGTTGTTTTTCAGTCTCTTATTACTTTCCTCTTCTTCTTTTATTTATTTATTATTTATTATTTTTACTAATACGACTTCAAACTTTTTTTTTTTTTTAAAGAAAATTGGAGAATCCACTCAATTTGTGACTAGTTCCGATAAGCTGCAAAAATATATTTTGAATTATAACAGTAATTAATAGTAGAATCCACAATTTATAAAAATAAACTATAAATTCTTAAATTAAACAGACGAAAATAAAAATATTTAAACATGCGAAGTGTACGGATAGAATATTACGTTTCGCGGCTAATTATAATGTTACTAAAAAAATGTGCTCCATAATTTGCTTTAAAGTAAATGCATCAGCTTCCCTCAATGGTAGTAAGTATCGAATAAACATTAATTTAATAATTTCATTTTTAACGTTATTTTTATTTCCTCAATTTATTTGACTAATAAAATAAAAATCACTCACATTATCCAATGGAACGTATGATAGTGACGTTAGACGTGCTTGGTGAACAAGTCAAGGGTGAAATAGTAAATTCACAATGACAGGGACATACTTGCTTCCTAAGATATTCCACGTGTCAATGCTGACATCAGCACTTACGCACCGCAAAAATGGAATATTTTTGCACTTAATATTTATTTTCTAATTTCATTTACTTATACGGTTACATAACAAAATGGTCTGATTAGCCTACAACATGACTGCATCTTAGGGTGTGTTTGGCAATTAACTGATAGTTGTTAGCTGTTAGCTGATTCAATTAGCTGATAGTTATTAGTTGATTCAATTAGCTGGTTTGACTATCTGATTCGATTGGTTATTTGTATTAAAATGTTTGGTAAAATAACTGTTTGATATTAGCTGTTTATACGTAAAATGACAATTGAGAATATTTTTATTTTATTCTTGTTTATAATATATTTAATTATGTTTTTTTGAATTTAAAATATTTAAAAAATTTTGTTATTAGTTATTGAAAATTGTAAAAGTGTTATAAAATTATTTATTTTTATTACAGTTAGATTTCAAAAATAATATATTTTTATTAAAATATATAAATAGTTTTTTTATTAAAAATGATGTAAAATATAAAATAATAATTTTTTTTATATATATTTATTATGTTAGTTGTCGATTAGGTCATTATATTTATAATTTTCAATAAATTTAATTTATTTAATTTATTTTTAGTATAAAATTTATATAATGTAATTTTAATAAAAAAAATTATTAATATTTATATTTTTTATTTTATGTTGATTTTAATAAATTTATATATTTTACAATTAAAATAATTTTTATATAAAAATTAATTATTTTAAATTTATAAAAGTAAAACTATAATATAATAAAATATTCTAATATAATTAATAAATAATCAAAATATATTTATTTGTGTAAAATGTATAATAAATTTTAAAGGCATATAAGGAATAAAAAAAATTTTACATAAAAAACTAATTCAAAATGCTGGGTAAGTTAGCTTTTCAGAAATTAGTTTTTTGGGTCCAAAAAGCTAATTTACAACACCTAAATTAGCTTTTTGACTGGTCAAACAGCTAAAAATTGTTCAATAAGCTAAAAGCTCTTCAAAAAGCTATTTGTCAAATACCCTCTTAATATATCTCAATTCAATATATTTATAGTCAAATTAAATATTTTTAACCATTATTATAATATATAAAAATACTAAATAGGGTTTATTTATTGTTTTAGTTTGAGGTATTTTTTTAATACAAGATATAGAGAATTATATCGATAATATAAAAATAATATTTTGTGAGAAACATATAATATTACTTTCGTCCGATTTGAAAGTAAATATTTATTTTTGGTATAAAATCTAAAAAATAATACTCCCTCCGTCCAAGCTAAAAGTATACATTTATTTTTGGCGCAGAGATTAAGGAATAATAATATTTTAATTATAATGTGTAGGTAAAAATAGTGAAATGACATTTTTGCCCTTACTTTTTGGGTATAAAAGTAATGATGTGATGTAAAGTAGGGGTATTTGTGGAAAAAATGGGGTATTTAATGAAATTGTTACTTTGTAATTGGACGTCCCAAAATAGAAATATGTATACTTCCTAGATGGACGGATGGAGTAATATTTTAATTATTATTGGTAGCTTAAAATAGGGTAAAGATTGATTATAAACTAGAGGTAAATATTTGTAGAAAAAAAAAAATGAAATATTTTTGAAATAGTTAATTTGTAATTAGATAATTCAAAATAAAAATATATATATATTTGATAAATGAAGGATGAAGTATTTATTATAAATACTAAAAATTGTGTAGGAAAAAATCCTATTGGCCAAAAAAACCCTTAATATTTTAACAAATGATTGCAAAAATAAATAAATAGATAAATTAAAATATATTTAATAATAAAAATTATATATGCTCTTTTGTCAAAATTTGCACTAAAAAATTTAAAAATATTTTCAGCTTACAATTTATAAGTATTAAAAATTCAATAAATATGTAAGCATTATTGAAAAAAAAAATAACATGAAATAACATGGATAATATACAATCATTAGTTTTATTTGTTAAAATGCATTTTTAACTTCTTTTTTTTCAATTTTTATCTCATTTAACTAAAATTAATCAATTTTACCGTTTGTAAAATAAAAAGTGTGTTTAATTATATATATATATATTTTTTTTTAGATTGGTACTATATTTTCAATTTTTTTTTATATCTCTTCAATAAATAAAGATATTTATATAAATTCAAAATTATTATTTTTTAATAAAATTAATTTATATTAATCATACATTTTATATCTCTTCAATAAATAAAGATATTTATATAAATTCAAAAATATTTATTTTAAATAAAATTAATTTATATTAATCATACATAAATATTTATATTTTTCATTTATTTGTATTATATAAATTATTCTTTATGAAATACAAAATAATATTCATATAACATATTGTATTAAATATAAATTTTTAAATATTTATATACATATTTTTTTTAAAAAATAATTATATATATTATATTATATATCAAATATTAATTAAAAAATTTCACCCATCTCAATTTTTAACTCATCCAATATTGTCTTTTTCAAATCCATACTGGTGTAGTCACTGTCACTTTGTCAGTAAAATTTAATTTTTCAACTCATCTAATATGGTTGTGTTTCTAATATGGTCGTGTTAAAGATAGAGTTGTGTTAAATACGGTAACAAATTATTTTCTTTTCTCTTTAATATTCTCTCCATCCCACACAAAATTTCAAATATTTTCGTTCCGGTCCGTTTAATGGTATAATTTTTTATTTTGTATTTTTTTAAAAAAATGTTATATACTTTAATCATTTTTTAAATTTTATAATATGTAATTTTAATAAACTTAATTAGATTATTTAGTTATTTTAATTTTAATTTATAATTATTTTTTATTATACCATAATTATTTTTTTAATATATTTTTTAATTACTTATTAACTATAACTTTTACAAATTATCGTATTTATATTCATCTATGAGACACTCTATCGGAGACGAAAAGAGTATTTTATTTCATATATAATAAGTATTTGTTGGATTAATATATATATATTGTGTTAAAATTAATATTATGACATAATTAGATATCGAAGTATTGTAGATAAAATAAATATAAAAATGATTGAAAATAGTAATTTGTGGTAGCATCTTGGTCATATTGAAAACATCCTGATATGTTTGCTATTTACCTCCAAAATTAAATTACTTTCTCCGTTCAAAAATTTTAGTTTTATTCTTTTCTATTTTTTTTTTAAAAAAAAATTTACAAGAATTGCGGAAATACTAATATTTAACTCGTTTAAAATTCCAACAGACCTGTGTATATAAGCAATTTTTTTTACGTTCTAATTTTGATTTGAATTTTTTTATGTTAGATACAGAAAAATATGTCGAAAAAATATGAAAAAAATAATACTTCATTCGTCCAATTTCTATTGTTCTAAAATATATTTACATTTTTTAGGTTATTGTCTTTTTTTATTATGAATTGATAAATTTGCCCTTAATTATATGGTAGAGATTAAAAGTAATAAATGAATAAAGGGTAAAAATATGAAATTTATATAAAAAAAAATAGAACAATAGTTGTCGGACGTCCCTAGTAAAATAGAAAATTAGTTTGTGGACGGATGGAGTATTTTACACATTAAATTTTACAAAATAATAAAATATATATTAAGAATTATGTATGAACAAATAATTAAAAGAACAAACCGGTAATTTTATTTTAAATAACATTTATCAAAAATTTTCCACAACACAAATTGATTAATTTGTATTTGTTTGGAGTTTGAATTTTAATTTGAAGCCTAAATCGCACAAAATTTACACGTGGTTTTATGAAATTGCGCCAAATCCCTTATATTTTTAAAACTGCGTCAAACTCCCTCGTAGTTTCATAAACTCTGCGTTTAACCCCCTCGGCGGTCCTTATTTAACGGTATTTGACCTAAATGCGCCCAAATTGCAAATAAATCTAAAATTTCAATTTCTAAACCCCTAAAATTATAAATATATTCATTTTTTTGTATTTTGTTTTTAAAAATAATAAATATACTAAAAAAATAGTTATTTTTTAATCCGGTTTTAAGAGTTTATTTTTACTATTTTTTAGGCTAAATATAAGGAAAAAAATATATATTTGTAATTTTAGAGGTTTAAAAATTAAAATTCTAAAATTTATTCACATTTTGGGCGCACTTAGGTCAAATACTATTAAATAAGGACCGCCAGAGGGTTAGACGCAAAGTTTATAAAACCACAAGGGAGTTTGACGCAATTTTAAAAATACGGAAGATTTGACGCAATTTCGTGAAATCACAAATAAATTTTGTGCAATTTAACATAATTTGAATAATAAAATTTTGAATTTAAGAATTGTTTAATACAATGTCCGTTTCAATTCAAATTACTATTTTTATCATTGTAGCATGTCTCACTTAAAAATATATATTTTTATATATATATTTAACTAAAATTAATTGTACACTAATACAAAAATATCTTTAATTTTTATGTAAATTACAACTATATCATTATACAGTCCATCACTTCATACAATCAAAGACTATTCAATAAAATATTACTACTTTTATTTCATATAAAATAGATTATTTATCACAAAATCAGAAAGAATGCATTCAAAAGCGACCACAAAATATAATATACATAAAAATTAAAATAACATTTTTAATATAAAATTAATTTTTAATATAATATATAAAATACAATTCTATATTCCTATATAAAATGTTCATAATTTTTTTATTCAGTCTTAAATAATTTATTTTATATTTTAATCCTAAATTAAAATTTACAATTTTTTAATATTAATTAAATTATTTATTATTTTAATTTTAATATTAATATATATTTACTTTTACTAATGCAAAAATCCAACCCACCTGTGCAGCGAAGACCAGAATTATATCGCCGCCGCCATGTAACCCAAACCAAAACTAATTTTCCAATCTCTTTTTATTAATAATTTTCTCTCTGAGGTTTCTTCCAAGGCCGAAAATGGCGACACGGTTCTTCCAAGTCCACTAAACCTCCCTCCCTCAATCGCACAACACCACAACTAAACCTACCTTCAAATCCATCAGAATCGAGCAAATCAATCATTTTTCCATGGCGATCGACGGCAAACAAGACAAGAAGAAGTCGCCGGTATCGTCGAGTATGTTAGGGCCGGGTTTCCGCTTCCATCCGACAGACGAGGAGTTGGTACAGTATTATTTGAGGCGAAAAATGTGCGGTAAAGTTTTCCGATTCGATGCTATTTCGGAGATCGATGTTTACAAAGCCGAACCTTGGGATCTACCTCGTAAGATTTTTTCTCTCGAGCTCCTTGTTGACTTTTCTTAAACTATTATCTGTTTTAATATTTTTCACTCTTTGCGGGCTTTAGTTTTGATTTATCGAATGCACTGGTGAGGTTTTTGTACATTTGGTGATGGTGGCGGTGATGCTGATACAGTGAACTGTGTGAACTTTTACATCTGCAGTGGAATTTTGGTTTTGTTGCCTTTGGTTGATCGATCGATCGATCAGTAGTTGATTGATTCACCTCCTAAATTGCTTTCTCTGTGTTACCTTTTGATTACAAGGTGTGGCATACATGATCTTACAACTTTTGATAGATCTTCTTTTTTCTTTTAAATTAGTCAAAATTGATTTTTCTCAATCTGTTGGTAATGAGATTGTTGCAATAAAATATGAGGATGTTAGAAATTTGATTCGTTGTTGAACTTTTCCTGTATAGTTAGTTACAATAGTGGAGTTTTTTTTATAAGAACCTGACTTCATGAATCATGTTGCTTGCTTATATATCTTGTACGTTTCTTTGTTCTGACCCGATTGTATATCTTGAGTACTTGTTCATGTGACTATATGTGTAGGTAATATTCCACGGTGTGATTGTTTAGGCGTTTCGGTTTTGAATGGCAAAATTTTGAATTTGAATAGATGTTTGATAGGATAGAAATAGGTGATGATGTTTGATATTTGATATTTGTTTAGGGAATAGAACTCTTAAGAATTATAAAAATTCCCTAAAAAACCTCAAACAAACACAATCTCAGTGAATTTCCTTTTGGGATCCCATAATAATACATTATTGCACTTATAATATGGTTTGCACAAGTCATGCATTTTTTTGTGGTAGATTATTGTGTGACTATACCCAAGTTTGATTTGTTGTGAAAATTTTAGACATGTCAAAGCTGAAGACCAGAGATTTGGAATGGTATTTCTTCAGTGTGCTAGACAAGAAATATGGTAATGGAGCAAGAACAAACCGGGCAACAGATAAAGGGTATTGGAAGACAACAGGAAAGGATAGAGCAGTTTTTCATAAAACACAGGTTGTAGGGATGAAGAAAACCCTTGTTTATCACATTGGAAGGGCGCCGAAGGGTGAGAGAACCAACTGGGTCATGCATGAGTACAGGCTTGTTGATATGGAGTCGGAAAAGTCCGGAATTCTCAAGGTGGGTTGTATCGATTGCATCCTCATTTCCTTAAGTCTCTTGTAACACAGTGCCTGGTGACATGCCTTTTAGTTGAGAGGCCGGGAAAGTTCTACGTTACTTCTGGGTGAATCTGAATGAGATGCAAAATGTTACTGATTTATGGGGACGTGGGTGCTCAAGCAATTCGGGATTTTGCCAAATGGAAAAGGACAATAATCATCCTCTCCATGCCTCATCCCTGCTTCTAGCATCAGAGCCAGTATTCTCATTTTAGAAGGTTTCAGTCATTTGTGCAACCTAAAAAGAGAAAATCTCTACCCGAAAAGTTTCATAATAGTTCTCATTTCTCTTTTATACACCCCACAATAGCCTAATTTTTGTCTCAAAGGCCAAATGATTGAGTTAATTTTTTTTCAGCAAGCATCTACAATATTATTTTTCTTACCTTGTGTCAAAATCCAGTTTGGTGCAAAAGATTCTTAACAATTTGGTGGAGAGGTTGTTATGGTAGTTATTATCGTCTCTAAATAAGCTTTAAATAATGTTATATTCCTCAAAAAAAATTATCTGATATATTTTTGTTGGTATTCCTTTTGTGTTAAAGGATGCCTATGTGCTTTGTCGAATCTTCCAGAAGAGTGGTTCAGGGCCTAAGAATGGCGAACAATATGGTGCACCATTTGTCGAAGAGGAGTGGGATGACGAGGAGTTGGAATTGGTCCCTGAAAATACTGTCACAGAGAATGTTGATTTTGATGACGATGCCCTTTTGGATTACCGTGATCTTCAGCAGGTCATTCTCTTAACTATGCTGTTTCTTGTAACAAATATATTCCGCCCACCTTCCTATATAGTACAAAACATCAGTAATGCATTTTCCACAAAGGAGCTAATGGAAGTTTGAGAAATTTTGTGACATGGAATTTTTATTGCGGAAACTTTAGGCCATGACACAGTATTCTGGATGATAATACTTATTTGGTGTGTTTGACGTTCGAGATAAAATGACTTTGCCTTTGGCGGACTTATCTAGCCCCAGAATGTTTGTTTGGTTATTTTTCATGAATCCTTGTATAAATCGAAAGGCGCCATTTTAAAAGAAGCTCGTGTGAACTGTGAAGTAGTTAATTTAGGCCAAGTTTTTATGATACATAATGTGACCCTCTTGTTGGTTATTGAAATTTCTGTGGAAATCTAGCTTCCAAATAACACGGGAATACCGTGAATGTGGTGTTTTTCCTTGATTTTGGGTATTTCGTTGCATTTAAAAGTCGATAAGTTGTTATATTCCTTTTGGTATTATTTTTTTAGAGTGGTAAGCTTTGTATGTAATTGATTCAATATTCAAAAGTTCCGTTTTTCATGTTATTATCTTTGTCTCTTTATCCAGATTCTTGGATCGGACACTCCAACTAATAATGCTCCAGCTCTGGTCAATTTCCAGCCTGCAGATAGCGCCCATATTGAATCTACGGAATCGTTTCATAATATGCAGACGCACCCGTTCTCAGCAAGCAATCAACATGGGGAGCCCGAGTTGTGTGACGACGTAAATGAACCAGACAAGGAGTGGATCGGTGAATGCAGCAAAACTGGGGATTTAGACGATATCGATTTCTTTCTAGACGAAACATTCCTTGATTCTTCTGATATCTTTCAGTACACCGGCGAGGGCTTCATCGAAGCTAATGATCTCTCAAAACCCGTTGAAGCTGATCCCACCGCCTCTAATGATATGCTTGACGAATACCTTACATTCTTCGATTCCAACGATGATAGCTCACTCTACTTAACATACGATCCTCTCGTCACGCCGTGGACCGAGAATATTCTTTCTGACGAGATATTTCCTCATACGGTAGCACCCTATCCAAAATTTCTTGATTTCTCATGTCTTATCAAGTGGTCCTTTGAAATACAATGTTTCGACTTAGCCGGTGCTTTCTTTGCAGGAACCAAGCAAAGGAACCGAGCAAGCTATCTTGCCAATTCAGACGGATGACAAAAATGCTGACCATAATGCCCCCGATGCAGCTGCACCATCTGATAAGCAAACGGCGAAATACCAATCAGGTACTAAAATCCACCCACCCCAATCTTAGGGTGGTAATTCAGGCCGGCCCAGTTTTTTTGTACCTGACCAATCAGGTACTAAAATTCATTGCCCAATCTTAGGGGTGGCAATTCGGGCCGGCTCGGTTTTTTTGTATCAGGCCAGCCCGACCAGGTTTCCAAATGGGTTATACAGACACGGCCCGGTTTTGAACCGGGCCTGAACAGTTAGGCCCGAGCACGACCCGGTTTGAAATCGGTCCGTGCCGAAATTTTAAATCATTTAAGTGGGAATTGAACTCACAACCAATTGCAAACAAAAATAGGCACGGTCCGTGTTGGGATTCTCGATCTTCCTGAACGTTGGGTGATCTGCACAGATTCTCAACCAAATAATTAGTGCGGATAAAAACGATGATTAAGAATGTAAAACAGAAATATATGTTAAGAATTGAAAAGAAAAAATAGATCAATCGGTAGTGTAGGCTTATATTGCAGCCACTCCTTCGCCAACTCCAAGTCGTCCTACGAGGTAACCCACAAAGGTGTCGATTGCGGTGGTTCCTAACACGAAGTAACCTAAGAACCCTATTCCTCGCACACTCAGTATCAGGACGAAAAATAGCAAGAGAAGTCGATAGGCTAAGGCAGTAAGTTCGTCGCTCACATAACAGAGAACTGAATAGCAAACTCGATCACACTCTTTCTCCCAAAATCACAAACCCATATATATAGGGGAGAGGCGGATGGATAGAACCCAAAAGAGTAGGAAACAACCTTACCTTATCAACACCCATGGCGGACTCAATCAATCTCGAAGAAATAGGGATAGCACCGTGAACGACGGAACGGATGAGAGACCGATTCAAACGATCGAACAGAATGGGGAGAGATCGGTTTGATTTAAGGAGATAAAAAACAAACCGGGTCGGTTCTGGATCGGGTCGGACAGGGTCGGGTCGGGTCGGTTCTGGATCAGGTGTGGGTTGACGCAGAAACACACCAACAATCTCTACCTTGTTTCTAGTCGACCCTCGTGGTTACATTGGAGGGCAATCGAGAGTGGGAACATGCTATCATCATTGCCATTATTCCTGCAATCTTAACACGGAGTCAATTCTGTAGAGTATATATTAGTCATAGAGAAATAATACATGCTATCAATGAAGAGCAGACACGGTTCTAATCCAATGTATCAAAATTTAACATATTTAAACATGACTGAAGCTTGGAAACAGGCAGACATTTGGTTCCCATATCAGCAGGGTTAAATTGAGAAGGTATTTTTTCAAGTGTGACTGACCCTTTTGCAACTATGTCCCGTATAAAATGAAACCTAACATCTATGTGTTTGGTTCTATCATGAAAAACAAGATTCTTGCATAATTGGATTCCAGACTGACTATCAGAATAGACTGTCACATTATCACGTAATATTTCAATTTCAGAAAGCAAACCTTTTAGCCACATCGCTTCCTTTAGAGCATCAGTTATCGCAACATATTCTGATTCAGTAGTAGATAGAGCAACAATATGTTGGAGTTGTGATTTCCAACTTATGCATGAGCCACACAAAGTAAACACATAGGATGTTGTAGATTTTCTATTGTCTCTATCATTCGCATAATTGGAGTCTACGTAACCTTTCAATTTTACTCCTTCAACACATTTTCCAAATTTTAGCCCTAGGTTACTAGAACCACACAAATATCTAAATAACCATTTGACTGCATTCCAATGTTCAGTTCCAGGATTAGACATGAAACGACTCAAACAACTCACAGAATATGCAATATTAGGTCTAGTGCAAATCATCAAGTACATCACAGAGCCTATAGCATTCGAATATGGCACATCTTTCATGTAATTCATATCAGATTCAGACTTAGGACATTGATCTTTGCTTAGCACAAAATAAGAAGCTAGAGGCACATTAGTTGACTTTGCATTGGACATGGACATACAGAATTGTTTCAAGACTTTTTCAATATATGCGGATTGATTTAACAAAAGTGTAGAAGCAGCCCTATCTCTAATAATGTTCATACCAAGAATATTCTTTGCATCACCCAAATATTTCATGTCAAACTTATTGCTCAAACAGTCATTAACATGTTTGATAGTATTCACACAATGACTAATCAATGACATGTCATCCACATAAATAAGTAAGACAACAGGAACATCATTTGATCTCATAAAATACAAACAATGGTCAAAATTACTTCTTGTGAATTTTAAAGATCTCATGCACTCATTGAATTTAATGTTCCACTGTCTAGGTGATTGTTTCAAACCATACAAAGATTTTTTAAGTAGACACACATGATCAGGCTTACCTTTATCTACAAAGTCATCAGGTTGTTTCATGTAAATTTTCTCACTTAGATCACCATGTAGGAAAGCAGTTTTAACATCCATTTGTTTTAGTTCCCAATTAAAGTGAGCAACTAAGGCAAGCATTATCCTAACAGTAGTATATTTAACCACATGTGAGAAAATTTCAGTGTAATCAATCCCTTCTTTTTGAGTGAATCCTTTTGCTACCAACCTAGCTTTAAATCTAACATTATCATTTTCATTTTTGACTTTGAAAATCCATTTGCAGTCAACAATAGAACAATTAGTTGGCCTAGGAACAAGAATCCACGTATTGTTAACATGCAGGGAATTCATTTCATCATGCATTGCATTTAACCATTCTTCAGCGTGTTTAGATTTAAAAGCTTCTTCATAAGACTTAGGTTCATTTCCATCTAATGTCTCGAACACACTAAAAGCATAAGAAGTCAAGTCGTATTCATCAAATCTAGACGGTTGCTTAGTGGTTCTCTTAGTCCTATCTCTCGTAAGTTGGTAGTTTTCTATGTTCTCATATTCTGATTCAGAATTTTCAGCATTTGGTAGGTCATTTTCAAGCAACTTATCATGAGAATCAGATTTGTCATGCAACTTTTCAGAAATTTCCAATTTATTTGGCTCTACCTTATTTGGCTCTACCTCATTTGAAGTCAAATCTATTTCAATATTTGGCACATTCAGACAGGGCATCTCATTTTCATTAAAGGTGACATCTCTACTAATTAGCACTTTGAAACCTGGTTCATCTTTTAACCATAGCCTATATCCTTTTACTCCTAAAGGATAACCTAAGAAAACGCATTTCACAGCTCTAGGTTCAAGTTTATCACCTTTATATAAAGCATATGTTGTACACCCAAATACTTTCAAATTGGAAAAATCAAGTTTCTTACCCGACCATACAGATTCAGGACACTTACCCTCAAGTGGCACAGAGGGAGACCTATTAATCAAATATGCAGCCGTAGTAACAGCTTCCCCCCAAAAACTCTTTGGAAGGCCCGAGGAGTTTAGCATGCTCCTCACCCTTTCAATAAGAGTTCGATTCATTCGTTCCGCCACCCCATTTTGCTGGGGTGTATAGGGAACTAGCTTATGTCTAGTTATACCTGATTTAGCACATAATGAATCAAGCAAATTGTTGCAAAACTCAAGACCATTATTTGTTCTAATAAATTTAATGCGCTTACCTGTTTGATTTTCTATTAACTTTTTCCATGCTTGAAAAATTTCAAAAACATCTGATTTTTGTTCTAATAGAAAAATCCAAACTTTTCGTGAAAATTCATCAATTACTGACAGAAAATAACGACTCCCACCTTGAGTAGGAACAGGAGCAGGACCCCACACATCAGCATGCAAATATTCAAGCACATCCTTACATTTAGGCACTTTAGGAGCATGGGACAAATCAAATTTTACCCTATGTTGTTTACCATAAACGCACGAGTCACAAAAAGGCACAGTAGTAATCTTATCATTTTCAAGAAAACCATTTTTCTTTAATATTTCAAGACCTTTATCACTAAGGTGACCTAATCGTCTATGCTGCAATTCAGTTTTATCATTAACAACAGAATTCACATTTGGCATGCAATTTGATTCAGCATAAGCAACGTACAAATTATTTTTTCTAACAGCCTTAAATGCAACAAATGAACCTTTTAAGACTTTCATAACGCCATTTCCCCATTTTCCTATTAATCCACTTTCATCTAGTGCAGCACATGAAATCAAGTTATTGCACAAATCAGGAACATGCCTAACATCCCTTAAGGTTAACACATAGCCAGAGTTAAACTTTAGACAAACACCTATACCAACAACTTTACAAAGTTTTTCATTTGCCATTGAAACACTAGCATGCGAAATAGACCTATAGTTTGAAAACAAGCTTTTCAAATGAGACATGTGAAAGGTACATGCAGAATCAAGCAACTACACTCGTTAGCACATATAGTATTAACAGCAGCACAACTTCCTTTAACCATGAAAACATCTCCTACATATTCATTTCCTATAGTCATATTAGCATGCTCATTTTGTTGGTTTCTAAAGTTCTTAGGGTGTGGACATTGCTTAGCATAATGGTTGGGTTCCCCACAGTTGTAACATTTTCTGTTCTTAGGCCTAGACTTAGACCTAGATCTCTCATTGCTCTTTCCCCTATTCATTTGGTTTTCTGTATTTTTTCTAACTTGTGACCTACCCCTAGCAAACATCACTTCATCACTAGCATGTTTATGACTTTTATGTGCATGCGAGTCAAGTTCTTTGTTTTTTAATTCATTCATGACAGTTTCAAGATTTATACTATCTCTACCATATTTGATAGCAGACTTAACATCAGAATAAGAGTCAGGAATTGCATTCAAAAGAACAATAAGGGAATATTCATCAATATTCTTATCGCCTGTTTGTTTTATATCTTGAACTAACTTTGTAAAAACATCTAAATTTTCATCAATGTTTCGATTCAAATCAAGTTTAAAACGGAAAAACTTTTCAAGTAAGAACAGTTTGTTTGGCAAAGATTTTTCCATGTAAAGTTCTTCTAATCTTTCCCATAATTCTTTCGTAGAATCAAGTTTTCCTACCTTTCTAATCACAGAATCAGAAAAGTTCAAGATAATCAGAGAATAAGCACATTCATCTATTTCAGCATTTCTCTCATCTGTCAATAACGCAATATAATCACCATCAATTGCTTTGGAAACTTTTTGAGTTACTAAAAGTCCTTTCATTTTTTGTTGCCAAATCGAAAAATCAATTTTTCCATCGAATGGTGCAATATTGAAAGATGACACAGACGACATATTAACGAATAATTCACACGGTCACACAAGGGGCTATTAGAGGTCAACTACCTACTCCTTTAGGAGCAGCTTGGTACGTAATAGCCAACACACACAATCAAGTATGTCAGACAATAATTCACTAACTATCAGTGGTCAGCTACTTACTCGCTCTTGGAGCAACCAGTTACGTGATAGTTGTGTCACACAATTCATATATAAACAATCACGAATGCCCAAATATTATCTAACACATAGAGGTTCAAGGGTTAGCCATCCGTTACCGATTGGGGCAAATTTTACCAATTTCTCTTTGCAACTAGGATAGCAAATTCAGCCCGCGTTCAGCTTTTTAACCTTGCTCTGATACCAATGTTGGGATTCTCGATCTTCCTGAACGTTGGGTGATCTGCACAGATTCTCAACCAAATAATTAGTGCGGATAAAAACGATGATTAAGAATGTAAAACAGAAATATATGTTAAGAATTGAAAAGAAAAAATAGATCAATCGGTAGTGTAGGCTCAGAGCGCAGCCACTCCTTCGCCAACTCCAAGTCGTCCTACGAGGTAACCCACAAAGGTGTCGATTGCGGTGGTTCCTAACACGAAGTAACCTAAGAACCTTATTCCTCGCACACTCAGTATCAGGACGAAAAATAGCAAGAGAAGTCGATAGGCTAAGGCAGTAAGTTCGTCGCTCACATAACAGAGAACTGAATAGCGAACTCGATCACACTCTTTCTCCCAAAATCACAAACCCATATATATAGGGGAGAGGCGGATGGATAGAACCCAAAAGAGTAGGAAACAACCTTACCTTATCAACACCCATGGCGGACTCAATCAATCTCGAAGAAATAGGGATAGCACCGTGAACGACGGAACGGATGAGAGACCGATTCAAACGATCGAACAGAATGGGGAGAGATCGGTTTGATTTAAGGAGATAAAAAACAAACCGGATCGGTTCTGGATCGGGTCGGACAGGGTCGGGTCGGGTCGGTTATGGATCGGGTGTGGGTTGACGCAGAAACACACCAACAGTCCGGTTTATTGGTGTGCCGGGCCAGGCACAGCCCAAAAAAAATCGGGCCTATTTTTGGAGATCCGAGCACGGTTTTTCGTGCCGGGTTTGAACCGGATTTTCAGACCGTGCCTATTTTTGTAACCTCAACCCAATCTTGCACCACACACATCGACACAATTAACGTATATTTTCTTGAACACTCACTTTCACATGACAGATTTCGAGCTTCCCTACATCAAAAAGGCTAGCCAAATATTGGGCAACACTCGGGCTCCCCCGGCATTCGCCGCAGAAAATCATTCCGAAGAGACGGTTCGACATCTCCAGTCGGCATTCCGCTCTTCCAGCTCATACAACGTCACTTCCGGCGTGGTCCAAATAAGAAACTTGAATATGGAAGGGTCTCTTGGCAAGCACAGCAACTTCGACATCCTTCTCTGCTTCGGCTTTACACCGGGAGATGGCGTATTGTCGGGACCCGACTTGAATCTTCCATGGAAGGTCAGTTCAGCTATCTTGAGAGCCTGGGTTTACTTAATTTTCATATGTGTTATTTGTCTCTACTTGAACTCTAAAACCGGGGCCTGCATTCGTGCCCGTTAATTGATGTCTTCGAGCCCTCCGGCACCGTTAAAATCGTCGATGTTTTCGGGACGAATATGCAGTAAAAGTAATGGTAATTTTGTGGGTTTGGGATAATTTTAGGATATTTGGAACTTATTTGTTTGTAAGACCGGAAAATATTGTGAGTATAAATATTGATCATTTGACATTATGCCTTTTAATTCTGGGCTTGTTGATTAGGATGTAGTATGTTTTTTGGAATTTAATTTTGCAGTTTGGTTTTAGATTTGAATCATAATGAGAAAATAGTACCATCAGTTTACGGAATTTATGATTTGGTTTTGTTTGATTCTTTCGTAAGCATTACTCCCTCCGTCTCAAAATTATAGTCTTATTTGGATTAGACACGAGATTTAAAGAATATTAATATTATATTGATAATGGATAAAAAGTATTAGTAAGAAGTAGTGGCATTTGTGTAATAATATGAAAACGTAAGGATAATTTTATGGTAATATAAGTATTTACGAAAATGAGACTTGTTCTGGGACGGAGACTATTGTATTGAGACGGAGGGAGTATTAAAAAAATATAACATATATTAATATAATACTTCATTCTTCCTATGGAAAGTTTGTTTTCTTCAAACAAAGTTACTATTTCATAATTGAGTAATTGTACTACTTATCCAATATAATAAATATCTTTTTAATTTGCAATATATTTTACAAATATCATTACTTTCATACTATTATATAATATTATAAAGGATATTTTTATTTTTTTTACTACAATTTTATATAATATCAATATTCAAAAATTTGTGTGTAAAAATAAATGGGATGGAGAAAATATATACTTTACTCACAACAAATTAAATAATTTAAAATAAAATATTATTTTTTATATTATCAATATAATTTCCTAAATTTAATATAAATAAAAAAAATACATTTATCGAAAAACACAAAATAAATATATTTTGTGGCATACTTGTAATGTTGAAACGTACTAAACAAAGCAGCATGCAAGAATTTTTTTTATTATTATTATTATAAATATAAAATATATATTTAAATAAAAGAAACAAAACATTATATATATATATATAGGGTAAACAATTTTTTTATCCCGTAATTAGACCCTTTATCATTTTAGTTTCGTAAATGGAGCCTGTCGCAAACTAATCCCGTAAGTAAAAAAATTTCTCTGTTTTAATCCTCCGGCGCCGGAGACGCCCGCGTGGCTCGCCGGAGGTGACGTGTCCGCCAGGTCAGCGACACCTGGCGGACACGTGGATTTTTTTTATTTTTTTTTCATTTTTTTAAAAACTTATTTTTTATTTATTTTTACTTTTATTTGTATTTTTTTATTTTTTTATTTTTTTATTTAGTCCAATTTAAAAAGAAAATAAAAAAAAATGAAAAAAAAAAAATCTACGTGTCTGCCAGGTGTCGCTGATCTGGCGGGACACCTGGCGGCCACGTCACCTCCGGCGAGCCACGCGGACATCTCCGACGCCGGAGGACTAAAACAAAGAAAATTTTTCACTTATAAGACTAATTTGCGATACGCTCCACGAAACTAAAATGATAAAGAGATACTAAAAAAATAGTTTACCATATATATATATATGCACAAAACAGCAAAACTAAATTTTAAATATATATAATCATAATAATACTGTAAATAAGATATACTGAGTGTTTATTTTAGAATAAATTATACTACTTCTGTTCAACTGATATTTCAATATTAATTATTATATAAAAATATAGTATAAATTAAAAAAAAAATTGTAAAAATATTTTGTAATACTATTATGCAAAAAATTATATAAATATAAAAAAAATTAATGTTAAATACATCAACTCAAAAATAAATTGAATCCTTAGATGATGATAATAATAATAATAATAATAACTAAAGTAGAAAAATAAGCACAAACCACCGTATGAGATCTTACAGTAGTTGCAGTCTTGCAGTTGAATGCTCAATTTGGCTCCTGAACTTCCACTGCACTGATCTATATTATGCAATCTCCTTTCAATTTAGAGTTTATAGGATTTTTTTTTACATTTTTTAAGTTGTATTCACATTTTTAAAACTATTTAAAAATTCAAAGTCATTCAATACAAGTTTAAAAAAACTTTAAAGAGTATATAAACATTCAATAATTTACTTTTAAAATTCATAAATTTTATTGGATTATCTATCAATATATCCAACAGAATTTAATAATCGAATATAACCCTTAGGCCATATCCAACCCATCAACTCCTTTTATCCAGTTTTACAGCGCGTTGGATTGTAATAACACCAAAAAATGACGGAGGATTTGGCGTCGGTTGGAGACAACTGCTATGGTGCTGGGTTGGAAATGGCCTTAAACCTATGCACCATTTTGGTTCATATTTCCTTCAAGCAAACTGACATCATAAGAGATAGAAGGGAGCACCAGTTCTTCCCGTTTCATTCGTGGTCCTATGAAGAACAGCTTCACATATTATTATTGTTGTTGTTGTTTATTTTGAGTAAAATACCGAACATTGAAATCTCATAAAAAAATTCAGCAGTTCCGTAAATGGTCATTATCTTAATATTTGTGCTGATTTCATCTCATTGTGGTGGAAGATGCCGGTTGTACCTTCCCATACAGTTCCTCGTGAGTGTCGTCCGTTTGATGATTATATGTAACCTCAATTCTCAAACACCATCGAACCAATTAATGTCGATTTTGTTCAAATTCAACAGCGTCAATCCGATTCGGACATTAATGTTCTGATTAGGGTTAAGGGACCTCAACCTAAAGATAACTATCATCATGCTCCCATATATGTTATTTTGGTCTTAGATATCATCAGTGATGGTAATGGTAGAGATCCTTTGAAAGTCACCAAAACAGCTATCATGTATGTTATACATAGCATGACGTGACGGGATCAGATATCTGTAGTTTTGTGCACCACTCCGACTAAAAGATTATGGTGCCTACACCATGTAAATAGCTCTAACAACTCCAATGCGAAAACAAAGGAAATTGTTAGTTCTTTGGATGTTGGACGTTCAACCAATTTTGAGAAGGGCCTAAATATAGATGCAGAGATTCTCGAGGATAGGAGGTACAAAAATCGTGTTGCAAGCATTATATTACTGTCGGAAGGGAGTAACCGTGATAGAACAATTCTTTCAAGTCAATAAGAATTTTATCTATCCGAAAACAATGCCCGTGATTGGAAACTACCCATTTTTTGTTCATGTCATAGACATTGGTCCAAGTCATAATACAGCTGGAATAACTTAGCTTTGCAGTCATTCGAATTCATGTGTATTCTTATTTGGGGATTTCAAAGAAACTATGAAAAATTGTCTGGAGACCTTACTGCTATGGACATAAGTCATAGACAGGAGGTTTCTAAACAATTTTTCATAGATTCTCTAAATTCCCATATAAATCTACGCATGAATAAGATCTGAACGATTATAAAGCTAAGTCATAAAATCCAGTTGTATCATGACTTGAAGCAATTTTTATGGCATAAACCAGAAAAGAGTAGTTTTCGGTCACATGCATTGTGATAAAATTCTTAAGCTGACTTCTAATGCTCCAGTTATTCCCATCCAACAAAATATAATGTTTGTAACACAATTTTTATATTTCCTATCCTCAAGAATTTATGTACCTATGTTTAGGTCATCTACGCCTCCAAAATTCAAAGAACTAACAAATTTCCTTCGGATTCGCATTGAACTCGTCAATAACATCCACATGGCGTAGGCATCATAATCTCCTAGTAGGAGTGGGGCACAAAACTACAAAGTCAATCATTCCACCTCATGTGAAGAATGGAAGCTTACCTAGAGGCAAATGATCTCTTGAATGCCATTGAGAAGGATTATGAATCTCCTTTTTGCTATAAAATCCAACAATGGCCCAACTGAAGAATCACACAGCAAGGAAAATAAAAAAGTCAAAGGCCAAAACTTGTTTGTTGTTGCTTCACAAGAGATCTTTACAAGAATCATGAGCCAAAACTCCACATTTGATTCTGAAATTTCCTTAAAGCTGAATATGAAGGAGATGGAAAGGTTGAATGAATGCAAGCGACGAATCTGATTCGTTAGTTTGAGATGCAACAAATGAAGGAGCCTAAAACAATCAAGAAGTACAAAGATAAGCTTCTTGGCATTGCTAACAAAATAAGGTTGCTCGGCTTTGAATTTTCTGATGCTAAAATTGCTCAGAAGAAGATACTTGTAACCATTCCTGAAAGCATTGATGCTACCATATCCTCTATAAAAAGCAGCAAGGATCTATAAAGAATTTATTTGGCAGATCTAACGAATGCTTTACAGGCTCAAGAACAAAAGAGACGGATGAGAAGTGAAGGTCTTTGTGCAAGAAGCACTGAATCAAGGAGAGAAAGACAAGAAAAAAGTCACAAAAGGAACTTCAACCCAAGTGATACACCCTAGCAGCCACAAAAAGGGAAAGAGAAAAGAATTTCCTCTTTGTCGAAATTGTGGCAAGATGAGGAATCCCCTTTCAAATGCTGGAAAAGACTTGATGTGAAGTGCGAAAAGTGTAATAAAGTTGGACATCATGAAAGGACTTGCAAAAGCAAAATCCAGCAAAAATAATGACAAAATTGCAAGCAATCAAGAAGAAGAACAACAATTGTTTGTAGCATTTTTCTTTACAAACCACAGCCCTAACTCAAGTGATTGTTTGCTTATAGACAACGGTTGTACCATTCACATGACCAGCAATGCAGAGCTCTTCACATAGTTGGATAGGTCATAAGGTTCCAAAGTCAAAATAGGGAACAAAGACTATATTGCTATCAAAGGATAATGAATTGTTGCAATAGAGAGTTACACAGGTACAATATTAATTTCAAATGTTTGTTTGTACCTGAAATTGATTAGAATCTACTTTGGGCAATTAGTCGAAAAAGAATTCAAAGTCATATTTGAAATAAATCAGTGTTGATCAAGGATGCTCATGACAACGATATCATAAAACTTAAAATGAGATGCAATGACCAAGAGCTTCTCTCTTGACCCAATGGTGAAGGAGCAAGCAGTTTATACTACTGCAATGACCAACTCAGAAATTTGGCATAAAAGGTTAGGCCACTTCTATCATGCAACAATATTGCAAATGAAAAAAAAAAAAATAAAAAAAAAAAAGAGCGGGGAGGCTAGCTCGTGGCTTGCATCACATAGAACCAGATTTACCAAGATGCAAAGTTTGTCAATTTGGTAAACAAGCAAGACTTCCTTTTCAAAAGAGACATTGGAGATCTACTGCAAAGCTACAATTAATTCAATTTGGTAAACAAGCAAGATATCTTTTCAAAAAGGACATTGGAGAAATACTGCAAAGTTTGTCAATTTGGTAAACAAACAAATGTTATGTCATCTTCATTGATGATTTCTCCAAAATGTGTTGGATATATTTTCTCGGGTTCAAATTTTGTGAAGAAGTTAGAATTGAAAATTAACTGACAGCCCCATGCAGCCCACAACAGAATAGGGTTAGCGAGCTAAAGAACAAAACAATAATTGAGAATCCTTCTCATGAAGTATACATCTGACTATGTTCATTATTGTTCTGATCTTTAGCTCTCTAACCCTATTCTGTTGTGGTATCCAATATAGCCACTAGACTGTTTCTAGCTATTGTTGCGCAAAAGAAATGGAAAATCTATCATCTTGATGTAAGGTCTAGCATTCCTTAATGGACTTTCGAAAGAACAAATTTACATTGAGTAGCCCGAAGTTTTTGCGTGTATTTATTGAAGAAAACATTATATGGCTTAAAACAGACTCCAAAGGCATAATATAGCAAGATAAATGAATACTTACTAAACTTAGGCTTTGCAAAAAGCCCTAGTGAGTCCACTATACATATTAAAGGTGACACTACTGACTTTATTGCGATCACACTTTATGTTGATGATCTTTTGGTCATGGGCAGCAACACTCAGCTTGTTAAGTAGAGTAGTTCTTCTCTCTTATTTATAAATTAAAGAAATCCCAATTCTTCTCTCTTATTTATAAATTAAGGAAATCCCAACATTATTCCAATGTGGGATATATTCAACACTCCCCCTTCGAGATGATATCATCTTAAAATCCAAATATGATCAATACCCAATACATGCACGATGACGCTGATGCCATGTTAAGAAGGAATCGAAAATTCCACTTAAAACCAATTGATATTAAGTGAAATAACATCCACCTTATAAAATAGGAGAGTCCCAACATTATTTTCAAAGTGGAATATATTCAACAGCCACTAACTGAACAACAAAGTGATTGTCTGGAAGAAGTATGTGGAAGATCGGGCCATAGTGAGGTCTCTTATGCAGAACATATTGTCTTCCTCTTATAAAAGGACACATTTGAATAACATAAGTTGTAATATTATTTCTTGCAAAATCGCATACAAACAATTATTCAAATTAAAATTAAAACGAAAATTAAAACAAAACAAAATCACCAAAAGAACAAATTGACAATCAATATGAAACTCCATCCCCATATATGTGTTTTCGAAAACTTGAGAAATGTATATATGCGCATATCAAAACATGAGGTTTAATTGGCACAAGGAAACGTTGAAATCTAACAAATATTTATGCATGAAATTGACTAACTTCCTCCATGCCCAAATGATATGTGAAATAGGGAGTGCTAACCCAAGAACAAAAAACACATGAATAAAATTCTTAATAACATTTCTTTCATGTACCAGATTACACGTATAAAAGCCAAAAAATCACGTAATCCAAGATAATGGAACAATGTCGCAAGCAAAAAGCAGTTCAAAATTCAATTTGGCAACAATGTTGGCCCTCAACAAATGTGAAGAACCTCACCTCCTCAGATATATATATATATATGATATATGCAATTGATCGACGATAACACATTGTATTAGTTTTCTAGGAAAGAGAATTGATCACTGACCTGACCAGATTGGAGCAGTACGTTTGCTTATCCTGCAACCCATTTCCAAATGCCCCCAGAACGCTGACTCTGGGCTGCACCACCATGCTCCATATCACCTTCGAATGCAGATTTTTCGGAACGAAGGGCTTGAACTTCTTTCTCCAATGATGGGAGAGATTCAAGCATCTTCTGGAGCTCTGAAATCTGTGCCTGAACCATTAAGCAATGGCAGGATATCAGATATTCACATTAATATCCCAATAGACCATAAGCATACATAATACTTTTTTACAGCTTCTAAATCGAAAATTGAAAACATAAAAAGTTGAAGGAGAAATCCAGACAATCATATTATTTGTCAAGTTTATCCACAATTTGAGCATAAACATAATACTTTTTTTCACTTTGAATTTTTGTTAACTATTCAATCTCTCAATTTCTCAAAAATAAAAATAAAAAATAAATCCAATAGCGATGTTTTCAAAATATCACATATATTTCATCTCAAAAACATTAAAACACATACACATAACACACAAATAAACTACAAAATCAGTACATTTATAGTAACTAAATGCATCACTACAGTACGAGGAAGAAAAAATCTTCAAAAAACTGGAAATTTCAATAATCTCTTTTACTAATTTTTTAAGTTTCCAGTCAATCCCAACCAAAACTACACTAAAAATGTAATCATATCAATAGATGATTGATTAATTGCTGAAGGAACAAAAAATGAATGTCACATTCCAAATAAAACATACAACCTCTAGTTTGGCGCACCGCGATCTCTCATTAGCAAGCTGTCCTTGGACTGAATGCAATTCCTATAACCAGAAAAGATGGAGGATATATAAATTGTTGCCATGGGTATTATAGAAATCTGCACAAGTTATTCAAGAACCAAACCTTGGACAACTCAGCATAACTTCCATTTGTTTCATCAATCTTAGTCTTGAGTGCAGCAGTTTCTGCTGTAACCTCAATAAGTGACGACTCCAAAGCTTTCATTTCTTCTTTGATTGAATTAACTTCAAGTGCAGTATCTTGTTGAGAAGTATCCACCGTAATTACCTTAGCATTTGTATCCTCTTGCTCACCATAATCCAAACTTTCAGATTTTGCCAAGGCATATGCAGCAGTAACAGAAGCTGCAGCAGCAGCTGCTGCTGGCGATTGCAATATCTTGGGTTGCGAAGAGTCCCTTGGTTTGACTTTCATAACAAACACCTATATATATATATATAAATATAAATATTGTAGGAGAGAGAAGCATTAAAATAAAGACATGCAGCAAACAAGATAATGTTAATGTTAAGGCATACAGAAGATTTTGCTTACAAGGAAAGCATTATCCAACAGAAAAGAAAAGTGGCTCAAGACATTCGGCAGATATACTGAAAGTAAAAATCCAAAAAGAGCAAACAGAATTGAATGGCATCTTACAGGTTAATCTGTACAGCAAAATCATGTAAACCTTGAATCGAAAAGTTTCATTCCAGATACTTGCTAGAAAGTAAGAATTGAAAAGTTCCATTCCAGAATTCGACATGGTTTTCTTTTTAATCAGAACTACATGGTAGCAATCCCAGTTATGTATTATCTCTTGTTATTCGTACTAAAGACCACCAGGACCATAAAAGGCAACATTTTGGCATAAACTAAATCTTATTTGTAAAACCAGTGGATGAAGATGCAGTGGTAAGAAAAAATAAAGAATACCTCATTGTAGTATTTTCCATTGTACCCACCGAATGTAACCAAAAAAGTCTCACCACCTAGCAATGCAGATGAAATGCTGATTCCCTGTTTGCATCTCCATAGTATATATTATACAAAATAAATGTGCCAGAAAATAATAAATGAAATAATGCAGGTGATAAGCTCAAGGGATTAAAATGTGCAGACCACTATAAAATTAACTAAATTGTGGAATTCATCGTAATGAAGTGTCTATTGGTATATCATATTGCAGAGGAAGACAAGAAGGAAAAAAGAAGCTTCTAAATATCATTTGTGGTTCTTGATTGTAGGAGTGCGACAAGGCATGGAATTGAGTGCTAAACGAATGAGCTGATCATCTTCCACATCACATTGAAACTGAAAAATTATACAAAACTGTGGGGAAAAAATAATAAAAATAATAAAACAAAGGGAAAGATATTGTGAATTCAATTTTATATTGTGAAGATAATTATAACTATTCTCAAAGCTAATGACATTTGCTTAAACACTATCTACTAGCACTAAATAATCTTGCGGGCTCCATAAACTTCATAGAAACTAGTTATAAGCTCTTCACAGATTTTAGTAAAGATATTTTTAAGAAGAAAATTACAATCTATACAAACATTAACATCTTAGGATTTGCCCCATGTATCTATCTATGCCATGCCATTACAAGGGCCCTTCCACCTTCCCATGCTTCATGCAAGAAAAAACATATGAAATCAAAAGCATGGGCAGAAAAATTGAACAATAATGTGGCCAAATAAATGTACATTATATTAAGTCTTAACTAGTGGAATCACCTAAAGACTAAGCTCTTGAGACTCGCAATAAAAGGAAAATCAAGAAAACCTAGTACTTCTAGAGAAAGTACTCACAGCATGCTATTTTCCGGGTTTTGAAAACTGCTTATCGTTAACATGTACTAAAAACCTTCAGATAGCTTGAAAAATTTATGGAATTAGTGGAAAGCAAGGTGGTGTCATACCTCACTAGCCAGTGGATCTCTTTCTTTTACACTAGTCACAACAGATACTACAAGCTTGGACATATTTATAACAAGGGTTTCCAAGGCACCTTCAAATAAAAAAAATAGAGAAAGGTTTGCCTTCACATAGTAGTCACAAAAACCAAAAACCAAAATGTTTCAGGCCAACTGCACTGCATATTTACTTACCACTTCTGTTATCTCCACCGCCAACAATAAACCAGTTTTCTCCAACATCAACACCAGCATGGCCTGCCCTTGATTTCACAATATCACCCTGAATCTGTGGTTGCGACCATTCCATCTGGCACAGCAAAAACAATATTGCAATCAAGGGTTTAACATTTGGTTTGGTGTTTATTTTGAGTGTGCAAATTTAGTTAAATTTTGATGGAGATTTTAAGAATATCTGAGGCTAGGGGTTTTCATGAAAATAAAATCAAATAAACAATAAAGATGAATATTTCTAAATCAATTACGAATATTTATAAACAACAATATTATATATGTAAATACTAAATTAATAAGCCGTATAATAATCCCTGCAATATTCAATAAAAGATATAAGATTTTGATTATATAAGAAAAAATACTGCTGAATAAATATAATATACTATGTCATAATAAGCCCAGGACATGTTTAAATTAAACAATGCACTCAAGACTACATTGAATTCTTTGGTGGATCAAAATTATCACCTATTCTTTGTATCCAACTTTTATTTTTAGTTTACAAATAAAAATAAATCACATGTCAATAATAATTCATTCCAACACATTATATGTTTGTAATGATAGTGATGAATACCTTCTTGATTCCCACCTTGTAAAGACCAATTTAATTATTATATACCAATTTGTCTTCATATGTTTTGCAATTATTTTAAATATTATATTAACAAATGGATTCAACCTGAACTTAAAACCATTCGGTAAAACTATTATCAAAAGTGTTATAAACAAAAATGTGTATAACTTATGGTTCTGAGTTCAATAACTTCTTTTTGAAAATGAAAACCTATTAACTCATTCACCCTAGGCATAGGCACCATGAATGAGTTAACCTAAATCTCAAGAGTGAATACTAATACTTTATTATCATGGTCAGGATGGGGGTTATGACCAGTAAAAATATAGATAAAGCTCTGAACATTTAACATCATTAAAAATATCGCATTTTAAGAAAAATGAGATAAACTAATTTGTTAAGAAAAAAGGAGAAAAACCTACTGCTTCCAAATCCAGCACATAGAGGTCACTGAAAAATACAGAATGAGAGCATCCACCGAAGATAAAAAGATATCGCTCTGAGTGCAGTGCAGCTGCATGATCAAATCTTGGAGTTGGAGGTGCCTGCCTGTCATAAGTACAAAAAGTAAAAAAAAAAAGAGATAAGAACTCGTCCAATGAGCATGCATTTATAACCATTTACATATACAGATACATACGTAGTCTCAACAGGAGTCCATGTCATTGTCTCCAAATCAAGAACGTTAACATCATTCAGTAATCTCCTATTCCAGTCTTCTCCACCAAACATGATAAGTTTTGAGCCAAAAAGTGTAACTGATTGTCCACTGCGAGCTACCTACAGATATCTCACAAGAATGCCTAATAAGTACATGAGTTGCAAAAAAAATGAAGGATGACAATGAGAATGGGTCTTGTAGATTACTAGATGATCCTGTTGTAGTCACAACTCAAGTTGCCAACATGGATACACTAAGGGTGTGTTTGTTTGGGGGTTTGGATTTTGAGTTGGGATTTGATTAGTTGTATGATGTGATATAAATAGGAGTTGATGTGATGTTTTGAATGTAAAATTGATTTTTAGTATAATATAAAAAATATAAAATAGGTGTTTGATTTGATGTTTTTGAAGAAAAAAAAATTGGATGAATAGTGTATTTAAAATCCAATCCCCTAAACAAACACACCCTAAATGAATACAAACCGGACTAGTAAAAAGAGAGTACGTAATTAATAAGAAGCTCAATAATTTTGTAGTACCGGAATTTTTCCAAAGGTCTCCACAACACCGCAATTGTATGATTCAAGGTCAATGAACCGTACTACAGAACACAAAACAAAACATTCAGATTTAAAATAGGCAAATTTCAGCAATACAAATACTACAAAGTAGAAATGGTTTTTGCACCAAACAAGTCGCACAAATAATTTAATAATAAGCAGCCCAACACTATATCAGGTACGAACAAACCTGTCATCCTGTCAGTTGTATGTTTCGAAAGGCCAGCAATAAGAAGTAGCCTTTTTCCCCATTTAATCTGTGGAAAGAAAAGATATAGCTTATGTCACAAAACAATTAGATTTTCAAATATTTTTCTTAACACCGATCAAGAACAAACTAGATAATTGGCATCTTAAAATCTATAGTAAGCGGTTCAAGGGCTCAATAATAAACAAAGGCACACTAAACCATTCTGTAATACCACATTACCATACTATGACCAGAAGTTGCAGGAAAAACTTGTGCTGGGATGCCATCATTTGTCTTCGCATCTGAAGCTTCAATATTCAATTTGACGGTGGACCATGTCAAACTTCTCAAATCAAAAACCTAAGTAGCATTGAAGAAATAAATCCCTGAGAATTTGAACAATAATAATAAATAAAATATGTAATGTAACCTGCATGAGTAATAGAAAAAGAAATTCAAACAATACCTGGAAATCGGACAAGTATCTACCATTGCGACTTCCACCAGTAATGTATAACTTCTCATCAAATAAAGCCGCAGCATGCTGTAAAGTAGGAAATGTTTCCTTGGAATATAAGTGGAGCAAAATGAAATGGAAAGGGAAATAAGAGGTAACACAGGCTTTGTTTACTTGATGTTTGGTTTCAGTTTCTTTACTATACCCCTCGTGATTTCCTATTTAAAGTATACTATTTTCCTTTCACAAAAGATCACATTCAGACCACTATTAAAACCAATACTCAAACCAATATACAAAACCGAACCCGAAATAGAAAACCCATAAAGCGCCAGCACACCTATGCTCATACTCACTAATGAAAAAGATGAAAGAAACAATTCAGACTGCAACCAAGAACTTACTATTTAAACATTACCTTATACCGTGCAGCAGGGCGGGGACCAGATACAGGGAGTGCTACCCACTGATCATAGCTTAACTCCAGATGCCAGCTCTGACTATCTGCTCCCATTGTATTATCCTTCTGCCATCGGATCAAGTACAAACAAAAAAAAACTTGAACACCAAATGCTAAAGTACAGTCAGATTAAATCACTAAAATGAAGTTATTCTTGATAGTTAAGGGTGTAATTGGATGTGTTTCAGATTTTAAATTATTTTAATGGAAATGATGTTCTTGAACGTGTTGACAGTAGTAAAAGAAACGAAAACTCATAGTCACATATAGTTGATTTCTAATAAATGGTCGATCTCACACACATTTTGGGTGTGTTTTGAAAAGTAGGCAGGAGACAATAATTTACACTAGATCGCACAGGAGCAAGAACACAAACAAATAGACTTACTTTATAATTTTGAAAAATTAAGAACACGTCAACCATTAGCACCTTGCTTCCCCAAAACCCTCACCTCTCAGCATTGTCCTAAATCTAAATATTCTCTTTAACGCCCTAACAAGGAAATCAACAAGAACACGCCAGACAGACCTTGTCCAATCAAACTTAGAACAAATACATCCAAATGAGTTTACACCAGTTCACATTATACTCCAAATTACATAGATTCACGAAATAAACCTCCTCAATCACCAATTGATAAAAAACGGCAACAAATCAAGAATCAATTTATCAGGAATCATTTCGAAACCACAAAATTGAACAAACAACAAATATCTGAAAATCCAAAAGCTCGAAGATCTTACAGAAGAGAACACTGGGATCGGATCGGACAGCGGGAAACGACCGATCTTGGAGTAGAGATGCGAACACCGACAGAAAAACCCGTTAGCTTTGTCTCTCGCCTTCGTGTTCGATCGGCCGTATGAACTTAGAGCAGTGAGCCGGTGAAGTCCTATCTAGTTCGCAGCAAGTCAGAGGGGAGGGGTAAAATGGTCTTTTGACATTCCCTTTTCTTTATTGTTTTTATTTGAGCATAGCTTGGGCCGCTCGGTTAATTATAGATGTGGATCTTTTAATTAGATTTGAAAATGTTTTTAATTTATATTTGATATTAAAATAATACTATATAATAAAAATATTTTATTAGAAAAGTATATATATTTTTTAAAATTATAAAATTTAAATGTTAAAAATTTGAAATTTGAGGAATAAAACACACACTCTATATTTTAATTTATTATTCAATCTTAATTATGTTTTATTATATACTCCTGTTTTAAAAATATTTATTTTATTGTATATAACAAATTTTATGAGAAATATATTTAATATAAAATATAATGATTATATTCAAAATAATTATTAAAATCAAAATCTTATAAATAAATACATTTTAAAAAATCAATACTCATAATTTTTTAAAAGGGAAAAAATCAATTTTGGTTCCAATATAATCAAATTGATAAATTTTGATCCTAATATTAAAAAAAAAAAAAAAAAATTCATCAATTTTAGTCTCAATATAAACAATTTCAATCAATTTTGGTGTCATTATAAACAATTTTAATCAATTTTGGTCTCATCGTTAAAAAAACTAAAGAAAATTGCTGACGTGGACATGACGGAGGTGAAGTAACAGTTGACTTGGAAAGTACACGGCCATATTGTTACAAAGTCATGCATATTTCAATGTATAATTATACATGACCATGTTGTTACACGGCCATGTATAATTCTACCGGTTGTGTACCTTTCTATTTTGGTCTAAAATTTTAATTTTTTGTTATATTTTTTATATTTTTTTTAATTTAGAATAGTTGATATAGTTAAAATAAAAAAAAAAATCAATAATAATCATAATGTAATTAAAATATAACAATTTTAATTCAAATATAAGTATTTATCGAGTATTAGCAAAAAGATTCTCTTACAAACATCCAATTTGTATTGAAATAATAAATTAATTTTTAGTACTGCTATAATATACAAAATTTTAAAAAATAGTTGTATAATTAGATATTCTTAAGAGAAATTTTTTTTATAAAAAATAAAATTTTAGACAAAACCTTTCAAAAGAATATATCTTATAAATTTTTATATTTGAATTAAAATTAATAAATTTTAATTATATTATAATTACTATTAATTTTATCAATTTTAACTATATCAACTATTTTAAATTCAAAATAATTTTTTTTAAAAAATATATATAACAAGAAAATAAAATTTTAAATTAAAATAGAAATCTACATGGCCGTGTATAATTGTACATGGTCGTGTAACAATATTGCTATGTATAATTATACACTGAAATATACATGGTTATGTAACAACATGGCCTTGTATAATTGTATATGGTCGTGTACTTTCCAGGTCAACTGTCACGTCACCTCCGTCGTGTCCACGTCAGCAATTTTCGTTAGTTTTTTAACGGTGGGACCAAAATTGATTAAAATTGTTTATAATGAGACCAAAATTGATTAAAATTGTTTATATTTGGACTAAAATTGATGAATTTTTTATATTTGGGCCAAAATTGATAAATTTTAGTTATATTACGACCAAAATTGAAGAATTTTTTATATTGGGACCAAAATTGATAAATTTTAGTTATATTTGGACCAAAATTAATTTTTTTCTCTTTTCAAAATCAAAACTAAAATTTAGAATCGCACAAGCAAACACATTTAGGGTGTGTTTGTTTTGTATTTTGATTGGAAGAAAAAAATGATGTAAAAATTAAAAAATTATTTAGATATGGTAAAATTTTAAAAATCTATAATATAATAATATTTTTTAAAGAATGTGCAGAGAAGTTTTTTTAAAAAAAAAAAACAAACAAACAAACCCCTATTTTTGCAAAACAATATCTCATCTTTTATATTCTACTCCAGTAATATATTCTATAATAATAATAATAATCTTATTAATCTACTGAAATTAACTGCTATTATTTGAGGCGTGTTTGTTCATATTTTTTATTTGAGATGTTTTCATATTGTTATAAAAATAATATTATTCGTAATATAAAAAATAATATTATGATGTGATATAAATAGGTGATGATGTGATACTTTGAATGTAAAATTGATTTTTAGTATAATATAAAAAATAAAAAATAAATGTTTAATTTAATATTTTTGGGAAGAATTTTGAATGAACAGTGAAATTTTGTCAAAATCCATCAAAAAAAAATGTATAAAAATACACAATAACCTTTTTTTTTTATTAACCATTAATATAAGAGAGGAATATTGAAAAGAGAATAAATGTGTAATTTTGGCATGAGAGAAACAAGCAAAGCACATGAAAATTGCCTCTACAAATGCTTTATTGTTATATTATACTTCTTTCATCCCATATAATTTGTCCTTATTTTTTATTTTTATCTGTCCACGTAATTAGTCCTTTATTTTTTTAGAAAAATAGTTATACACTTCAATTTATAATTGTTTTTAATGTTAATTAAACTATTTAGTTATAATTTATAATTATTTTTACTATATAATAATTATTTTTCCTTATATATTTTTTAATTACTTACTAATTATATTTTACCTAAATTTCATTATTATCTAGCCCATATTACATGACACGGGAAGGAATATATTTTATGAAGCCCGACCAAAAAAAAAAAAAACCCTAAATTTAGATGGAAAATCATGTATTAGGAGGCTACTGTCTTTACTCTTAAAAATAAAAAAAGTTAGGCCTAATCTTCTTTACTTGTCATAATTGATTTGATATTACTATTATAATATAGTGCGCAATTAGAGCTGGCAAAAACAGATATAATATGAGCACAAAATAATTTGGTTTGAGTAAAGGATTTTCGAAGTAAACATGTTTTAAAATGAAGTTAGGCAACAGTGTTCAATTCAATAGGCATAAATCATACCATGCTCTGAGTCGCACAATCTAGTCTCATTCTGCTTCTTCGATTTCCTCGTCATCCGGAGCGCCACGAAGATATAGGACATTGTTGCACCTGCAAAACATATATAATCACTATTTTGATCAAGAGAACAACAAATAATGACAAGAAATGTATCGAATGTGCCAGGCGAGCACAATCACAGGTTGCAATAGGAGTATGATTTCCTCAAGACGGCGAACAAGTCCAAATAGTTCCGTATTTAACATGAAGTGAACTAAAAGAATGCACGGTGAGGTAGTTTAAACGGCCCACAAATGACTGAATTTATTTGCATGAATCTAAAAAGATGACATAACAAAAACTCTCATGTATGTCGCATTTTTCGACCAAAGAGTATATCGATTGAATATTTGCATAACATGAGGTCTAACCAATGACTGAATACCAAATTTTTCAAGTTGCACTGGATTAATATTTTGGATAGTTTTCTCGTGGCAATCGTCAAACAAATAAGATTCAAAACATCAAATGTGTAGTGTTGTTAATATCTTTGCAACACATGACATCAAACATATATCGTAGTCAATCGTTTTCTCATCTTGAATAAAGCAAACGGATTTCATAAAAAATGTATCCCGAATCTCCTGATAGTCTATGCATTTACATTTGCATCCAAGAAAAAGCCTACGATCATTTAAGTGCCCTAACTCAAGTTTGGCAGTAGCTACGGTGTCATAATCACATACCAAATCCTAATAACCATTTATATAAAGGAAAATTCAACCAAGTACACAATGAGGTCGGGAGTAATAATATCCAATATAGACCAAATCAACAATTAAGGAAAAAAAAAACCGATTCATATCTTTAATTTAGTTGTCGTTGAGCTAATCACAAAAAACTACAACAAGCGCATGCTTATATTGCTAGAGGATACTTAGTAGAGGTACTTGAAAAACTAATGTCAGAAAACGAGCAAAAACAATTTGTCCTTTGATACCTTATCAAGATCTCTCCGAGACTTCCAGTGCATTCCCCGTCAACATATTCTTCAGCATTTGCAAGCTGCCAAAAGATGTTGAAAATTGTAAATTTATCTCTAATGACGAATCTCTATGTTTTGCCCCACTGGAATGCAGTGCACGGAATAATATAAAAATTACATATTAAATAACAACACCAAGAGTCCTGTGTAGTTTATCGTAGAATGTACCTGCAAGTTCATGTAAGAGTCCATGGAGACAAGAAGACCTGTAGCAAAAGTCAGAAAGAAGAAGACACCAATGATACTCCAGATAAACGAATAAATATCAACAAGTAGGCTGAATGTTCAGAAGCGAACTTCAGGACATACCTTTGTATTCCATTCCCCATTTCAGTTTTACAATTACAGGCTTGCCAGTTAAATTGTTCAAAAAAGGCTTCGGGTTAACTGGTACAGTCTGCAGATATAGCACAAAATGGTTTCGGGGAAACATTAAAGAAGAATAAACAAGCACAGTTTAAAGTGAAGTTACATCCGTGCAATCAAATCTCATGTGAATACATCATTACCAAGGAGTTTCTTTTTTGAAGTTTCTTCCAATTGAAAAAACACAAACAGAATTGCAAAAAGAATTAAAATAAGAAATCCGATGGTGATTAGCCTTCTTAAAGCAAATTGACGAAAAAAAAAAATATAAGTCTTGAGAAATTTGGTCCCGTCATCCGTAACCTAACAAACTGGGAACATAATGTTATTAGGCATTTCTAGCAGAAAGCCATAATACCTCTTTTTTCTTTTCCTCCGAAAAAAGTAGACGATTCATAGACACATAATTAATCTTTTATCACATGACGAGCCAAATGGTAGTGAAACCACCTCAAGCTTTTAGTCATTCCTAAGGCTTTCGAAGAGATATTCTGTAGACAAATTGACTGCTCAGCATATGACATACTTGGTAGAAACTTGTGCAGAATCTACATTCAACTTTCCTTCCAATATGTTTGCTTTACTACCCTGCTTAGTAATTTGATTTTTTTGTGTTTATTCCCTTCAGACATCAATATATTCAGCACTCAAATATCTTAAAAAAATATGAACAGAGTTTAAAACCTTCCTCATTCCTATATTTTACCATGCAATGCTGTTTTTTATCTTATTTATCGATAGGTCATGTGTGCTAGAAGAATGGTGTCTGCTCCTAACAACTAAATGCCCTACTTAATCTGGAAGGTATATTTCAACAATTTACTCCCCACATCCCATAGGCACTTAAAACTACAACATGAGCATTACAATAGAAATCCAACATCCGGATCATCCATTTTAAATATAGACCATGCTATATTCGACCCTTGGACTCACCTACACATCTATTAGCTTCAAATTGAGCCTTCGGCATCCAATGGCCGCATTGATTGAAAGTTATAAACAGAATAAACACAAGAACCAGTTACTATGAAACATCAATCATGCCAAAAAGACTTTTAGTTATGCAATCTCCCCAGCCCCATCGACGACACAAGCAGATAACATTAGGATTTATGGTTGTCAACAAGAGAGCATCATCTAACAGATTGTGCAGATTGCAAAACAAGCCATTCAATAAATTAACAACTAAGAGGGCAATAATTGGAAGCATGTAATCTAACTCATATAATCGCTATCAATTGAATTTTATTCACAAGAATACTACTTTAGCAGAACTTCAGAGTCAATTTTTTTAAGGTGAAATATCAAATTTGTGCCAAGATTCACAGCTCAGCTTCACCCATCAATCTACAGAACTAAATATTCAGTCACACTTCAGATTTCTAAAGCTACATATCTTTTATACTTGCAAGAGACACAAATCGAAGAAAACATGTATCTCACTTTTCCCCAGTTTGTCTATGGAGAGAATACAACACAAAAAACGGCACAGAATCCCACTTTCGAAACATCCAACGCTCGGATTATTTCCTTCTCACAATCCATTTTAACTGACATTGAATACAGATAGCAAGCAATACATTCAAATTTATTTCAATAGTAATTGGAGAGACTAACCGCCATTACAAATTACAACGGTTCTTGGAAGAAAATCTTCTCTGGCGGATGCTTCAGTACTTCTGCAGTTCAGACGAATTAGGGTTGAGAAAGCAAGCGGGTAATTGGGATAAAATTTTTGGTATGTTATTTGAGTTTGGCTAGAAAATTTTATTTTAAATTTTGTATTTAAATAATATTTAATAAAGTATTTTGTTAAAATATAATATTTTTTTTAAAAGTATAATTATATCTTAAAATTTTAAAATATTTTAATAAAAAAACACCTCCAATTGTGTTTTTAATAAAAAAAAATAATAATAATAACACTCTTCTAAATATTTTTAAACACTATTGCAAAAATTAGTAATCCCTCCTTCAAATCTATTTTTATTTTTCTTTTTTGTTGTTATCCAAATTTATTTTCGTTTTCTTTTTTAAGTAAAAAAATACCATTTTTTTTACCAAAAAAGTAAAAATTTCTATTCTTAAATATTTTTCTTAAAACTCGGTCAAATGAAATTTAACTAGTTAATAATATTAAATTATTATATATTATTATATTATATTTTATAATAATAATATATTATTGATAATATTAATATATTATTAAAATAAATATAAAATATGTTTTAAATATTTTAAATATTATATATCAATAAAATATATGCAATATAGATATAAATTTACAAAAAATAAATTTTTAAATAATATAAAGAAATAAAAATATATATTTATTAATTTATAGTTAAGAGAAAAACTAATTTTATAAAAAACAAGAAGTTTTAAATGTTATAAAAATACTTGTTTGGAGAATAGATAGAAATAAAGCGGGTTTTGAGTTAGTCCTAAGTGATATATTATATTATAATTAAATTGATTTATATTTGTTAAATATGTATAAATTGATTGAATTTTATATATATAAAAAAAAACATGTCAACGAATAAAACAGAAAAAAAGAAACAATTGAAATGAGACGGAGGGAGTAATTTATATTATTTGCGTATTTTTTATAAATATGAAATTAAAGTAAAATTAAAATTCTATAAAATTAGTAATATAAATTTTAAATTAAAATAAAGTATGTATAAATAATATTCTCTTCGTCCCGTGTTACGATGATTCATTTTGTTAGAAACACGTTACTTAAAGTAACGTAGATTACTAATTTATTAATAAAAATGACAATATTATTTTATTACTTTTGTATGAATAGTGATGCGGGTATTTAAAGTATTTTTATCATTATATTTCTTTTGTCTCATCTAATTTGTTCACTTTAGTTTGCCAGAGTTTTAGGTATTATATAATTAATAATTAATTAAAAAATTTATTAGTAAATATATTTATGATATAATAAAAATAATTATAAATTAAGATTAAGATGATTAAATAGTTTAATTAAAATAAAAAATTATAATTGTGAATTTTAAAATGTGACTAAAGTATATAATTATATTTCTAAAAAAAAGACAATTTATATGGGATTAATGGAAATAGAAAGAGTTGACAAATTAAATGGAATAGAATGAGTGTCTCAATAAAATATATATAATATGAATATCATTTTATAAAAAATAATTTTTTATATAATATAGATAAATAAAAATATATTTATTTATTTATAATTAACTTAAAACCGTTTTTTATAAAAAAAAAATTGAGAAGTTTTGAATATAAATAAAAAATATTTGTTTATTGATGAAAATTACGGAAATAAAAAGGTTTTGAATTAGTCATATTAAAAATTTAGTTAAATTAATGTATATTTGTTAAATATATTTAAAATGAATAAATTTATTAAAATTTTATAGGACAAAAAAATGGATAATATGTAGCAAAAGTATATGAATTGTTTTCTCATAGATAATATATAGGGTGTGTTTGTTTGGGGGTTTGGATTTTGAGTTGAGATTTGAATAGTAAAAATTTTGAATTTGAATAGTTGTATGATGTGATATAAATAGGTGTTGATGTGATGTTTTGAATGTAAAATTGATTTTTAGTATAATATAAAAAATGAAAAATAGGTGTTTGATTTGATGTTTTTGGGGGAAAAAAATTGAATAAATAGTGAAAATCCACCAAAATCCTTCAAACAAACACACCCATAGTATATTAAACATATCTACACAAAAAGTACAAAGGGTGTGCTTATTTTGTATTTTGATTTTTAAAAAGAAAATTTATGTGAAATATATGTATAAATAATTAAAAAATAATAAATTTATAGTATATTAATTTTATCGGAAAAATGTGTTCAAAAAATTTTGACAAAAATAAACAAACTAAAAGTAAATCCATTTAAATGGTCAATTTCAAATTAAATTATCTATCTATTTCTCTTTAAAATTATTACAATGTATTCATATATTTATGTTTTCAGAAATACAATTATTTTAAAATTATAGATATATATTATAAGATTTTAAAATTAGAAAATTTATGCAAAATTAATGTGTTTGTTCGATTTAAATTTTAAATTAAGATTTTAATTTTAATTTTATTTTACTGTAATATTTTATAGATAAAAATAAAAAATTTGTTAATTCACACAGCAAAATATTTTACTCAAATAGTTCTCAATAAATGTATATAATATTATTTCTATTTTTACAAATATACAATATTAATTCAACTTAAAATATTATTTTTTATACTCCTTCCGTCATTTAAATTTATTCTCACTTTTTTTTTTTGTTGTCATTCAAATTTATTATCGTTTCTTTTTTTTAGTAAAAAAATATCACTTTTCTTTACCGTAAAAATTTATATTCTTATATATATTTTTTAAAACCCTCAAATGAGCATACAATTAAACCGAGGGAGTATATTATTTGTACAAACATTAAAACAAATATTTTAAATCAAGATACTAAATAAATAAAAATACTTTTTTATTAATAATTTAAGATTTTAAATTTGTATTTCACCAAAACTTTTTTTTTTTCTTTTCCTTTTTCCGGCATTTTGGTCTAGTCTTCGCGTACCATTTTAAAAATTATAATTATTCTTCGTGGACAACAAAAATTCAAACTCTTATTTTCATCTTTTATAATTAGTTTTTATTTTTTCATTATTACATTTTTTCTTAAAAAATTTGTGTATGCTTGAAGTCATTCCTGACCACCCTACTTCGACAATGTTAGAGAGCTTATAGTCAGCTACGTATCTACATACATGCTAGAGTGGTTACCTGTGTCACCAATAATTTTTTTTCAAAAAAAACAATTTATAATTTAATGATTACAATTATTAAAAATAATTATAGTTTTTATTTAAAATTCAAAATTATATTATTATCCAAAAAAAAAAATAGATTAACTATTTAAAATTTAAAATGTCATCAATATCCAAATAATTAAAATTCAATCTATTTAAAATAATTAATTTATATATTAATAATATAAATATAAAAAATAATATTATTTTTTTAATAAATTAATTTTTATAATTTTTTTAAAATTTATATATTATAACACCGGTGATTTTATTTTATTTTATTTTTTTTCAAGATCCGCCGCTCCATATATTTAATTTTGATTGAGTTAACACACATTTGATAATCTATAATTTGATTGAAATAAACACATAGATTTTAAAGTGAGATAAAATGTAAATTGCAATAAAATTTGATTGAGTAGAAATGACATTTTGCTGTGTTGTATTATACATTTTTATACGTACAGAAAAGAAAGAAGGAACGGTATGTAGAGTATTATTATTTGTTTTATTTTGCTTATACGGGTGTGATTGTTTGGGGGTTTGGATTTTGAGTTGGGATTTGAATAGTAAAAATTTTGAATTTGAATAGTTGTATGATGTGATATAAATAGGGTTTGATGTGATGTTTTGAATGTAAAATTGATTTTTAGTATAATATAAAAAATGAAAAATATGTGTTTGATTTGATGTTTTTGGGGGGAAAAAATTTGATGAATAGTGAAAATCCACCAAAATCCTTCAAACAAACACACTTGTAGAGTATTTTAATAATAATAATGGTGTTATTTTAATGATAATGCACAAAGTATTTTGTATTTAATTTATTAAGTGATTTTATTTTTATTTTTTGAATTAAAATTTGTACAAAATATTCTCATTGTCCAAAGCTGATGTTTCTTGAAGTGTTTTGTACAAACTTTCAATTAACACAAGAGAATTTTACGCAATAAACAAAATACATATACGTGGTATTTTGTGCATTTTTACTGACACAATTTGGTGTGTTTGATTTGTGTTTTGATTTTTTTTATGAAAGATATAAAATTATGTAAGTAATAGTATAAAAATAATAAATACATGAATATATTAATTTTTTTAAAAAAAATGTATTAGAAAACTTTGGTTGAAAAGAACAATAATTTTTTCATAATAATAATAATAATAATGATGAATTTCATAATTAATACTTCCCGGACATGTAAAATAATGTACTCAGCAAATTAAACTTCATAATTTAGGAGAATTATAATTAGTAGAATGTTACTACCAGAAAAATAGAAAATTGTCTCAAAAAATGTCTCGGCGTGTTTATGAATACAAGACAATTAATTGAGTAATCTCGGCAATTGTCTCGACACCGTTTCCGTGGCCGTTTGCTCGTGACAATATTGAAAGTCACAAAATGACGAGATATATTGTCTCGTCACATTCACTGAGAGATTGTCGTGACAATAAAATATCTCGAGAATTCCCGCAAACTCCGTCGAGACTAAATTTTGTCTCGAACAATCATGACAACATCTGAGACTATATTTTATCGTGAACAACCATGACACCATTCGAGGCTATATTTTGTCGTGAACAACCATGACATCACTCGAGAATATATTTTGTCACAAACAACTATGACACCATTCGAGACTACATTTTGTCTCTAACGCTCATGACAATTTTTGCGACCTTAAATTGTCTTCATCAACCGTGACAACATCCGAGACGATGATTTGTCTTGAACCGCTATGATATTCGGAGACAATATGGTGTCTCCGAAATTTCGCCACTAAATACTATCACAAAATGCAATGACAATTATCGAGATATACTTTTCCTCAAAGTCGGCTATATTTTATCTCAAACAATTGTTGTATTTTTTGAGACGATATGTTGTCTCGAACAACTATAATAATATTTGAAATCGTGTACTATAT